ATGTTAGGCAACCCAGATAACGGGTAGTTCAAATAATTAAACTGCCAACTTGACAAACACAAAAATTGAAAGTTTTAAATCATATTTTTGCCATTATAACAACAAATTAATAATTTTTGATGTTACTTTTTTACTTTTTATGTTGTTTTTAGTGTTTAATAATAATTTTATTTGTTATAAAGTGGTAATTTGTTAATTTAAATATTTAATAGTTTTTACTTGTTTAGCGGATAAATTTGTTTTCCCCTAATTGATTTACAGTAAAATCTCAATTTATAGCAACTCCTTAACATAACATAATCAACAAATTTTGGTTTTATATTTTAATATGAAGAAAAAACGAAATTTATAACTATGTATGTTAGGCAACCCAGATAACGGGTAGTTCAAATAATTAAACTGCCAACTTGACAAACACAAAAATTGAAAGTTTTAAATCATATTTTTGCCATTATAACAACAAATTAATAATTTTTGATGTTACTTTTTTACTTTTTATGTTGTTTTTAGTGTTTAATAATAATTTTATTTGTTATAAAGTGGTAATTTGTTAATTTAAATATTTAATAGTTTTTACTTGTTTAGCGGATAAATTTGTTTTCCCCTAATTGATTTACAGTAAAATCTCAATTTATAGCAACTCCTTAACATAACATGATCAACAAATTTTGGTTTTATATTTTAATATGAAGAAAAAACGAAATTTATAACTATGTATGTTAGGCAACCCAGATAACGGGTGGTTCAAATAATTAAACTGCCAACTTGACAAACACAAAAATTGAAAGTTTTAAATCATATTTTTGCCATTATAACAACAAATTAATAATTTTTGATGTTAATTTTTTACTTTTTATGTTGTTTTTTACGAAGGCGTAGAAGGGCCAACAAAAATTTTACAAATTTTAGCCAAAACTAACTTTGATTTTTGCAATTTCTATTCTATAATTGTAACTTGAACCTACAATTGTAACTTGAACTTACAATTGTAACTTGAACCTACAATTGTAACTTGAACCTACAATTGTAACTTGAACCTACAATTGTAACTTGAACCTACAATTGTAACTTGAACCTACAATTGTAACTTGAACCTACAATTGTAACTTGAACTTACAATTGTAACTTGAACCTACAATTGTAACTTGAACTTACAATTGTAACTTGAACCTACAATTGTAACTTGAACCTACAATTGTAACTTGAACTTACAATTGTAACTTGAACCTACAATTGTAACTTGAACCTACAATTGTAACTTGAACTTACAATTGTAACTTGAACCTACAATTGTAACTTGAACCTACAATTGTAACTTGAACCTACAATTGTAACTTGAACTTACAATTGTAACTTGAACCTACAATTGTAACATGAACCTACAATTGTAACTTGAACCTACAATTGTAACTTGAACCTACAATTGTAACTTGAACCTACAATTGTAACTTGAACCTACAATTGTAACTTGAACCTACAATTGTAACTTGAACCTACAATTGTAACTTGAACTTACAATTGTAACTTGAACCTACAATTGTAACTTGAACTTACAATTGTAACTTGAACCTACAATTGTAACTTGAACCTACAATTGTAACTTGAACCTACAATTGTAACTTGAACCTACAATTGTAACTTGAACTTACAATTGTAACTTGAACCTACAATTGTAACTTGAACCTACAATTGTAACTTGAACCTACAATTGTAACTTGAACCTACAATTGTAACTTGAACCTACAATTGTAACTTGAACCTACAATTGTAACTTGAACTTACAATTGTAACTTGAACCTACAATTGTAACTTGAACTTACAATTGTAACTTGAACCTACAATTGTAACTTGAACCTACAATTGTAACTTGAACCTACAATTGTAACTTGAACCTACAATTGTAACTTGAACTTACAATTGTAACTTGAACCTACAATTGTAACTTGAACTTACAATTGTAACTTGAACCTACAATTGTAACTTGAACCTACAATTGTAACTTGAACCTACAATTGTAACTTGAACCTACAATTGTAACTTGAACTTACAATTGTAACTTGAACCTACAATTGTAACTTGAACTTACAATTGTAACTTGAACCTACAATTGTAACTTGAACCTACAATTGTAACTTGAACTTACAATTGTAACTTGAACCTACAATTGTAACTTGAACCTACAATTGTAACTTGAACCTACAATTGTAACTTGAACTTACAATTGTAACTTGAACCTACAATTGTAACATGAACCTACAATTGTAACTTGAACTTACAATTGTAACTTGAACCTACAATTGTAACATGAACCTACAATTGTAACTTGAACTTACAATTGTAACTTGAACCTACAATTGTAACTTGAACCTACAATTGTAACTTGAACTTACAATTGTAACATGAACCTACAATTGTAACTTGAACTTACAATTGTAACTTGAACTTATAATTTTAACTTGAACCTTAGTCTGGGCCAAAAAAATCAACTATTTTTTTTTTTTGAAAAGTAAATCGAAAATATGGTATATTAAGAGGTCTATCATCGCAATTTTTTTTTCCTCAGCAAGTTTTTTTCTCAGAACTCCCAAACCATTGAGTTTAACAAAATTGGCTCAAAAATATTATTTTAAGAAAATTAAATGCTCTACAAAAAAAGGTTAAAGTGAAGATGGACCGTTTCCTGAAAATCATGCCTTAAAAATTGGTATACTTTTTACATTTTGATCTTGGAATTTTGTAATTCATGTAAAAATCAGTACCCATAAAAAACCGATAAATATTCTTATGGGAAATCAAATGCTTTACAAAAAAGCCTCTTGACATTTTTGGCTAAATTCACTCAATCAAAAGTTATTCAAGGTTAAAATTTTGTTTTGACTTCAAATTTACCCTTGAATAACTTTTGATTGAGTGAATTTAGCCAAAAATGATAAAAGACTTTTTTTGTAGAGGATTTGATTTTCCATAAGAATATTTATCGTTTTTTTTTCAGGGTACTGATTTTTACATTAATTACAATATTCCAGTGGCGGCTGGTGGATTTTATGTATACCAATATCTCAGTTATTAGACATGGGACCCACACCAAATTTATAATAGTTTATAATGACATTAAATAAACAAGTTCGGCGCAAACAGAATTTAAATTGAAGTTTGCGAAAAAAAGTTAGTTTTTCCTGTCGCCTCACCCGCCTCCAGGCCCCCCTATTTGAGATAATTTATATTAAAGTGGTGCAATTTATTATCTTCTATAATTTATCGACAAATTTAAAATTTTATTTAAAAAATGCAAATATTATAGGTTTTATACCATTTTAAATACTTTCTTATTTTAATATTTATAACTATGTATGTTAGGCAACCCAGATAACGGGTAGTTCAAATAATTAAACTGCCAACTTGACAAACACAAAAATTGAAAGTTTTAAATCATATTTTTGCCATTATAACAACAAATTAATAATTTTTGATGTTACTTTTTTACTTTTTATGTTGTTTTTAGTGTTTAATAATAATTTTATTTGTTATAAAGTGGTAATTTGTTAATTTAAATATTTAATAGTTTTTACTTGTTTAGCGGATAAATTTGTTTTCCCCTAATTGATTTACAGTAAAATCTCAATTTATAGCAACTCCTTAACATAACATGATCAACAAATTTTGGTTTTATATTTTAATATGAAGAAAAAACGAAATTTATAACTATGTATGTTAGGCAACCCAGATAACGGGTAGTTCAAATAATTAAACTGCCAACTTGACAAACACAAAAATTGAAAGTTTTAAATCATATTTTTGCCATTATAACAACAAATTAATAATTTTTGATGTTACTTTTTTACTTTTTATGTTGTTTTTAGTGTTTAATAATAATTTTATTTGTTATAAAGTGGTAATTTGTTAATTTAAATATTTAATAGTTTTTACTTGTTTAGCGAATAAATTTGTTTTCCCCTAATTGATTTACAGTAAAATCTCAATTTATAGCAACTCCTTAACATAACATGATCAACAAATTTTGGTTTTATATTTTAATATGAAGAAAAAACGAAATTTATAACTATGTATGTTAGGCAACCCATATAACGGGTAGTTCAAATAATGAAAGTGCCAACTTGACAAACACAAAAATTGAAAGTTTTAAATCATATTTTTGCCATTATAACAACAAATTAATAATTTTTGATGTTAATTTTTTACTTTTTATGTTGTTTTTAGTGTTTAATAATAATTTTATTTGTTATAAAGTAGTAATTTGTTAATTTAAATAATTAAACTGCCAACTTGACAAACACAAAAATTGAAATTTTTAAATCATATTTTTGCCATTATAACAACAAATTAATAATTTTTGATGTTACTTTTTTACTTTTTATGTTGTTTTTAGTGTTTAATAATAATTTTATTTGTTCTAAAGTGGTAATTTGTTAATTTAAATATTTAATAGTTTTTCCTTGTTTAGCGGATAAATTTGTTTTCCCCTAATTGATTTACATTAAAATCTCAATTTATAGCAACTCCTTAACATAACATGATCAACAAATTTTGGTTTTATATTTTAATATGAAGAAAAAACGAAATTTATAACTATGTATGTTAGGCAACCCAGATAACGGGTAGTTCAAATAATTATACTGCCAACATGACAAACACAAAAATTGAAAGTTTTAAATCATATTTTTGCCATTATAACAACAAATTAATAATTTTTGATGTTAATTTTTTACTTTTTATGTTGTTTTTAGTGTTTAATAATAATTTTATTTGTTTTAAAGTGGTAATTTAAATATTTAAATATTTAATAGTTTTTCCTTGTTTAGCGGATAAATTTGTTTTCCCCTAATTGATTTACATTAAAATCTCAATTTATAGCAACTCCTTAACATAACATGATCAACAAATTTTGGTTTTATATTTTAATATGAAGAAAAAACGAAATTTATAACTATGTATGTTAGGCAACCCATATAACGGGTAGTTCAAATGTCACTTTCTTGCAGGCATAAGACCAATTTCGGCGCACGAGCCGCTGAAAACGGCTTCGAACGTTTCCCTTCATCACTCCGCGCACTTGAAACGTCCGCACGAGTTCGATAAAGGCTTGAAATGTTCCAATTGCGAGGCCAACTTGTGCCCGAGTCACTCGGACTTGCACCATTTGAGTCACAAGCAGATAAATTACGTGGAACCGAGCGTAAATCGACAAATACAGCGCCGGTTGAGCGTCGAAGATGTCTCGAGGAATAACGTGAACGTAATAAAGGTTTCCAATGGTGATTTATCGAGAGTAAACAGTCGGAAGCTGAGTAAAAGTCAGGATAACATCCGCAGCAATGTTGTGACCACAAACAACAACGTTTTAAGGATTTCGCAGCGAAATATCCACGTGCACAGTCGCGATTATTACCACAGCTCGGAATCCGATGAGGACTACAGCTCGGACAACCAAAATAACAACTTCGACAGCACCAGCAGCTGTAACTCCATAACAACCGAAGCTAATTGCGACTTCGAGTTTTACCACAAAGAAGATTTGCTGCACGGCGATAAAAATCAACGGCAAGCGAGAAAAACGCAGCAGGACAATCTACAGAGTTATTGTGATATGCACAATAATGACCAGGTACATTTTGTCCATTATCTTTTTAAATTGCAATTGTAACATTAAATTTTTAACATTATCTTGAAGATTATTAATTTATCTTTAATTTAACGTAAAAATAATTAAAATCCGTTGATTATTAACCAAGTTACAGTGTTTTTTAAATAACATTTCAATCACACAATTTTTGCAAAAACGCGGAAAAAAATTATGGAAATGGCCCACTTTTAAAAAAAAATTAGGGAAAAAATGGGGGGGAAGGTGTTTTTAACAATTTTATTTTAATAATAAACAATATGACGAACGAAACTTACATTTATACACAGTGCAATGTCAAACACATAATTAGGTTAGGAAGTGTCTACTGTCACGCACAGATCCAAGAAGACTATTAGATTGGATATTTTTGCGAAAGCGCGAACAATTTTTTATGAAAATGGTTCAAAATAGCCCACTTTTGAAAAACAAAAGAAAAAATTGTGGGTTAAGTGTTTTTAAGAATTAATAATATACCGCATCATAACTTATTATATTATACTATATACTTATATACTTATATTATATTATTATTAGAAGATAACGGAAAAAGATATCGATTTAAAATTTGTAAAGCATTTTTTTAAATTATTTTCCATGCGTTATTGCAATGCAATTGGAACCATATAAATTTAAATTCTACATAAATTTCTGGAAATTGTAAAATAGTTTTTACGTAATATATTTCATTTTTTTTTAATTTTTGACAGATGAATGGTCTGACATGGTCAGAAATATTAGGTCTGTATTACCACTAATCCAATTAAAACCCATTAATTGAAATTTTTTTAGTGTGTGTTATTTACGTTGACTTTTTTTACTCAATTCGACACTAAGTAATTTTTTCTATTGAAGTGCTGCAGCATTCCTATCCTATTCTGTCATAATTTTTGAAAAAAATTAAATATCTCAAAAACTGATAAAAATAATTAAATTATAGTAATTCTAGAATTTTACCTAGAATAATATTTATATAATTCCATTTGAAAAACCAAAGGTAATATTACTTCCGGTTTAAGCCTGATTTATAGATTGCCTTCCTTCCTTCCATAAAATATGAACAATACAAAAACCGTTGTGCTGTTTATAGATTTCCGTACGGGAATCTATAAAAGGCACTACGGTTTTCGTATTGTTCATCTTTTACGGGAGGAAGGAAGGCAATTCATAAATCAGGCTTTGATCCGATAGTTTTATCTCATACCTTTAGTCTTCTTGCATCTTTAGGATCTGTGCGTGGCATTAGACACTTCCTAACCTAATTATGTGTTTGACAGTGCACGGTGTATAAATAAAAATTTCGTTCGTTATATTGTTTATTATTATTAAAATAAAATTGTTAAAAACACCTTTCCAACGATTTTTTTCTGCGTCTTTACAAAAACTCGAGTCTGAAACAATTCGACATATAATTTTTGAAATTATGCGTAAATTAGCAATTTTTATGACCTGTCAAAGTTTGAATTTTTTTTAGGGTTATATGAAAATACCTACAAATTTTGTAGAATATATTAAACATTGTAACTGCAGCATAATAATACCTTGATAAATATTAATTTATCTCTAATTTAACATAAAAAAATTCAAAATCTGTCAAGTAAAAACGAAGTTGTAGGATGTTAAAGTCTATCAATGTTTTTTATATTTTAGGATTATTTTTCGATATCCTCTCATCCAATAATGTCGAGTTTCAAGCCCAACGAATATAAAATGATGATGCAACAACAAGGCAAAGACTCAAACTTAAAACAAAACACAACCAACGACAATTTGCTAAACTTCAAAATTAAACGTTCAAACTCCAAAAGGTCTTTGGAAAACTTTCAAATGTTTATAGAAACTGACGTCAATCGCAACGAAAACAAAAATCCACTGTTTGAAAATAACGATAATTTAAATTTGAAGCGATCCAACTCATACATGACTTTGGAGGACTGTAGGAATGTGGTAAAAAGCGATAAACCTTGTTTTCACTTGAAAAACAAATCGATAGAGTGCATTCCAATACAGAGGACGCTCTATTACGAGGACTTCAGAGATTGCAAGAAATTCAGCAACAATAATAAATACATCGGAAGTGTTCCGGACTTTAAAAAAGTTTTCATTTCAGAGTTTATTTAGAAAATGTACTTATTTAATATATTATTTATACCAATCAACCTGTAAATTTAGTCAATAATATACTGTGTATATTATTGTAAGTTAAAAATAAAAAGAAAAACCAAATTAGGCAACCCTCATTACGTACACCAAAAAAATATGTTTTGAGCAAATAATCGTGTTTTATTGTATTTATTATAAAAAAACAGTTATTAAAAAACATTTTTATAACTTTTTTAAGCTGTTTTAGAGACATAAGGTATAATTAATTTTTTAAGCAAAGAAAAGCATTTTGTAGGCAACCCAGATAACAATCACGACATAACCTCACTTGTTCAAAAATCCGGCTTATTGTGTTTGTTGCAATTTTGTTTGTGTTCGTTGCGATACTTTTGAACAGATATTTAAAATGCCGCCGGCAGCCAAAAGACACTGCAGCGTGATCATATACGATTTGGCTTGTAAAGAACAGCAGGAATTCGAAAAATCCTTTAAAAAGCTGCTGTATGTAAAATGGAATATAAACACCAAAGACACTTGTAGAGTGATCGTTATGAATTCCAATAAGACCCAGAATAAGTTCGATTATAAGGGGATATGCCTTTTAACCCAGGAAACACCGTACGCGGATCCACAGAAGATGTTGGAAAACATCCCCGATGTTGTGGAAGACAAAGAAGATAGTAGCAGCTGGTTGGAGGCACTTAAAGTGGCCTGCGACTTTATTGTGGAGGATTTCGATGCACCCGGGGTATTAACAAAACAATTGGTGATATTTTCAGACTTCTCCAAAGATTTAAATTGTTACGAGTTAACAAAGGATGTGATAAAAACAGTGAACAATAATAACATGTTTTTATACGTTTTTGGGCCCCCAGTAAAGCCCAATATAACTATAAAAACACCACAAGACGTTGATAAGTGGATGGATAACGCTGCGTCGTTGGATAATTTGCCAAACAGCCAAAATTACAGGATTTTGAAGGTTATGGTGGGTAAAACAAAAAAAAGAGTTGTTTGCCATCTAGATTTGAGTGTTCACTTGTTCTGCACCTACATAAACAACCACGAAACGCAGGCGTGGCCGCAACCGCTTAATTTCTGCAAAAGTCTTGTGGTGCCAAGCCAAACTTTTCGAGTATTGAATAAGGGGAAGTTGAACATTCGTTTTCAATGCAAAAACAAAATCATAAAACCTTTCGTTGACGCTTTGAATCCCGACAAAGTCTTCGACTTTTTTGATATTATAAAATGCGTGAAAAGGCACGATAGGCTTGTTCCAATCAGAGATGCAAAGAGATTTCATGTTGAAGGTGAGTGATGTTTTAAATTACTAGTAGGTACTCTTTATTCAATGGGCTTTACTGTCAAAAATGATAAAATTAAAAGTTATTTGACTATCATTTTTGACAGATGTCATCTGTTATTTTCGACATGTCATTTTTTTTGACATATGTCATTTGTATTTAAAAAATCTGTTTTTAGACAAAACTTTTGATAGTTGAATTCATGTTTTAGGTGAAAGATGTTTTAAATTACTGGGTTTTACTGATAGAGTAAACATCCCCGAGTATTATTTAAGGGGTGAAGGAACATATTTTGTCAAGGCTGTAAATTGTTTTACGGATTCCCTAGTTAAAGTTTGCAAAGAAGAAAACGTTTATGGGATTGCGAAAAGGGTTTACAATAAAAATAACAATCCCAAATTTTACGCCTTAATACCTGTGGTTTCTGAAGAGGCGAATTATTTTATGATGACCATGTTGCCATATGCTGAGGGTGTTAAATTGGCCTATGAAGAGAAACCAGTAAAAACTGCCCCTGAAGTTCACATAGACTCAGATCTGGAAAATTATTTGGATAGTTTGGAGGAAAAAATTATGCCACCCATGATTATGGCTCCCACAATTACAAAGTTTGCAGAGTACTCCCTAAATAAGGAAGATGGTAATATTAATAAGAGAAAATAAAGAAATATATTATAAAGATGACAATTTTCATTTTTTTAGGTTTTAAGTTTGGCGCTTCCCTCTTCGAAAATCCAACTTCAGATGACCATCCCTTCAAGAAAAAGTGGGGTAGTTTTATTTAAATTATTACTTTAAAAATGTGTTATGTTTTATTTTTTCTTGTCATTTAATGTTTACCTAATGTTAATAAATTTTGTATTAAAGTACATTAACTTTTATTTACACACCTGAACAATAAATTCATTTCAATTTAAGACATTTTTAAAAAGTACCAGGATCTGGGATTTTTCGGAAATCTGGCAACATCGCATTGTATCAGGAGTATACCTCCTCGCGTTTCTGCGATCCTAATACAAAATCGAAAATTTCAAAATTTTAAGAATTTATTTAAATTTTTAAGAAATTTTTGAAAAGTACCAGAATCTGGGATTTTTCGGAAATCTGGCAACATCGCATTGTATCAGGAGTATACCTCCTCACGTTTCTGCGATCCTAATACAAAATCGAAAATTTCAAAATTTTAAGAATTTATTTAAATTTTTAAGAAATTTTTGAAAAGTACCAGGATCTGGGATTTTTCGGAAATCTGGCAACATCGCATTGTATCAGGAGTAAACATACCTCCTCACGTTTCTGCGATCCTAATACAAAATCGAAAATTTCAAAATTTTAAGAATTTATTTAAATTTTTAAGAAATTTTTGAAAAGTACCAGAATCTGGGATTTTTCGGAAATCTGGCAACATCGCATTGTATCAGGAGTATACCTCCTCGCGTTTCTGCTATCCTAATACAAATCCGAAAATTTCAAAATTTTAAGAATTTATTTAAATTTTTAAGAAATTTTTGAAAAGTACCAGAATCTGGGATTTTTCGGAAATCTGGCAACATCGCATTGTATCAGGAGTATACCTCCTCGCGTTTCTGCGATCCTAATACAAATCCGAAATTTTCAAAATTTTAAGAATAAATTTTTAAGAAATTTTTAAAAAGTACCAGAATCTGGGATTTTTCGAAAATCTGGCAACATCGCATTGTATCAGGAGTATACCTCCTCGCTTTTCTGCGATCCTAATACAAATCCGAAAATATCAAAATTTTACGGTTTAAATTTTTACGAAAATGAGAAAAAATGTTAGACAAAGTTTTCTGTAAATTCGAAGTTTCGCTACCGGATAACAGATGGCGCTATTTAATTTTCTGCTATGGTGGTGCCCCCTCGAAGCGGTGGTAAAAAGTGGAACTAAAATTTAAAAAGCGCCACCTAGCGGACAAAATACGAACTACATTTAATTTTGTGCGATGGTTGGGCCCCCTCGAAGCGGTGGCAAAAAGTGGAACTAAGATTTTACGAAAATGCGATATCAGATTTTCTTTTTGTATTGTAATTAAGGGGAAATAAATAAAACCGTAATAATGTATTGTAAATATTTATTAAAATTTAAAAATTCCTTTAACAAATTTAATAATATAACAGTTGTACCATTGCTGAGTTTAACAAATTACCTACACTTTACACATAAAAATAAATTACAAATATACATTTTTTCGTGAGTGCATTTAAAAAAATACATCTTTTTCATATACATCTCGCTAGTATTACCTAAATTATTGTTTATTTAGTCAAAAAAGTACAAAACAAAAACGTAACGATAAAAAACAACACATTTTTGGTGATTTTTTTACTTGTCAAGTTGCCCCAACTGACTCAAAGTTTTTATCACCTCGGACTTTTGGTTCTCGTTGAGTTTCTCCAGAATGGCGACCACGGCGTCCAAAGCGATGTCGGGACAATCCTAAGAAGAAAATAAGTTTAAAAAAACCTGTAAAAATTGTCAAAAATATCAAACGTACCTCCACCGAAGTTCTAATTTGACTGATGTAGGAGTCCTTCTTGACCGAGTGGAGGTTTCGACTGATTATCGACTGGTTGGCGGGCTTCAAGAACTGCTCCAGCAGCCACTGCACCACCACCTGGTTATTGTCCCACTTGTAGCCTTCGGAAGCACCTTTATCCTCGATAAACCACCTTCGCAGCATACTTTCCGCCTGTCCTTGGGGATACGAGTCCAAGTGGCCCTTGATGACGCGGTCCTGCAGCAAAAGCCTCCTCAAACGCCAGTACAAAAGCGTTCTGGACCTCCTCCATGGGATAATGTCCTGCAAAGTAAACACTACCTCAAAATTTGCATTTTTGTTTGTAACCCAGGTCCATAACTTCTTTAGATTACATCAGATTTTAATCAAGTGAATACCAAAATAACGCCCTTTTAATCTAGTTTGCGAAAATATATACATGTTGGTAGGCGACTTCCATGCGTTTCTAGATATTTAACAAAATATGACGGTGTCCTGAAACGCAAATTATTGTTAAAAAGAAAATAAAACTTACGAGGATGGCGGATTTTTCGAGCATCCTCTCGGGGGTGTCGTGCAGATCGGCGAAGTGGATGGACACCTGGTGATACATGGGCAGCAGCAGGTTCTCCCTTTCTGCGATTAGCTTCTCCAAGTCCAAGATCTCCTTGGGTTTCGGCGGCGCCTCCACCTGCTGCGACGATATGCTCGAAGACCTCTCCCTCGGCTGCTGCGTCTGATTGAACTCCTTGATTTTGCCGTCCAACTCCTTGACGACGGGGTCCAGCCGGTGGATGGCCTTCAGCAGGTCCTTCTTCCTGAATTTGATCTCGACGATGCCTTCCGGCTCCAGCACTCCGCCTCTCGAGTCCGGATCGGCGTACATCTCCATGTAGCGGGAGTTGATGGTGGGGTCGACGACGGCCCACGCTCCCCCCCTAAGCTCCCCGTTGGGGGGGATGTAGATGATGACGGGCTGCTTGTACTGCTCCAAACCGTCCACGATGTAGGCGCCGAACTTCATGATCTGCTCGTACATGTCTGCAAGTTGCAACATACATTTGCACCTGGTTCCGTAACTTTTTTAATTTGAGTGCGATTTAAATGAATTTTGTGTCGAATTAAAGACAAATTTATCTAGTTTGCAAAAATTGTTAAATATATTTGGCGACTTCCATGCGTTCTTAGATATTTAACAAAATGGAAAAGAACGTCAAAAAATAAATTTTATGTTTATACACCAACACGTCATTATGCAAAAATTCGACTTAAATTCGTAGTTATCTCACGCCACCTGGTTATGTTTAAAAAAAATGTTTTTAATGTCCACTAGGTCATCCAACTTTTTTAATTATAATCCAATTTTAAAATTTTATATGTCAAAATTAAGCTTATTTGAACTAGTTTCCAAAAATATATGAACGTTGGCGAAGACTTCCATACGGTTTGAGATATACCACAAAATATGACAGAAAAAATTGGGCGTGCACCAGGTCTTGCAACTTTTTTAATTTAAGTGCGATTTAAATGAATTATATGTAAAATTGAAGATAATTTTATCTAGTATGTAAAAATAGTCACAAATATTAGGCGACTTCCATGCGTTCCTAGATATTTAACAAAATGGAAAAAATAAAAATAAAAGTCATAAAAGTGACTGACTGACCTTTCATTCCGCCGCTGAAGCCTCTCCAGTTGGCGAAGATGATGAGCGGCAGGTCCTCCTTGCCGAAGTCCTGGATGGCCTGCGCCGTCTTGTAGGCGCTGTCGGGGAACCACACCTGGCCGGCCTGCGAGACCGTCTTGGCCTCGCTGTCCAAGTTGGCCGGGTCGGCGGGCAGTTTCACCTCGACGGTGCGCGTCTCGACGGCGATGACGCCCACCGGGATGCCGCCCAGGCGGGCGCGACCCGTCACCACCGTCTGCGCCCACGGACGCATGATCTCCGACCAAGAGTCCTTGTCGAAGAAGCCGCTCTCCCACATGTTCGGCTCGTCTGGGTTAAAGGGAAAAATTACATTTTTTCCGTTTTTATATGTATTTTTATTCGTAAATGTTTTATTTATTTATTAATATTGGAATTATTGTGAGACTAAAAACATTGTTAAATGTTTTTTTAAACAAGATTTTTAAGCTTTATTGTTTTTATATACAATTAATTATGGTACACTGTTTTACTTTTTAATTGTTTAAGAAATATTAAGTAAAATATTTATGTCACAAAAATATTGCACACAGAAAAATTACATTAAAAGTTTATGTAATTTTCTTACAATAGAATTAAAATTAAAAAAATATAAGACAATTAAAAACTTACTTGGTGCTTCTCTTCCTGCCAACATCCACCTGGGGTCGTAGGGCGCTTTGGTGGGTACGAACTTGATATCTCTGTCGATGGGGTCCACTGGTTCCAAAATCGGCACCGGGGACATTTTGTCCTTGGGGATGTACGACAACCACTTCAAGATGGTGTAAATGCCGTCCAAATCGCTATGCTCGGTTTTGTGAGACACGCCGTTGTTGTAGTTGATTTGAATGCCGCCCAACTGGTTGTTGGAAGCGTACACTTCGCGACCCAACAGCTACAAATTCAAGTCGCAAGATAAAAAGTTTTTGTTTTACACGTCGCGTTAAAAATATGTACCTTGTTGAGGGCGCTGTAGCCTGTGAGGATGATGTGCGAGTTCTCGATTTGTATGACCCTCTGGCCGAGCCGCACCAGGTAGGAACCGATTCCAATGGCCCTGCAGGAGACCATGGAGATGGTGACGATCTCGCGATAGGCTTTCGAGGTCTCGCCGGCGATCATGCCGGCGTACTTCAAGTTCTCCACGCCCAAGCCGTCGTCTTTGCCGATGATGTCGGTGATTTTGTAGCGGCTCTCGCCCTCGTCCTCGATCAGCACGGCCTTGACGGAGTTTTGCGCGCTCACCTTGGCGTAGTCCTCGGGGGTGAGGTACAAGTAACGGTAGCCCTTGTCCGGTTCGTTGTTGTCCTCCCACGCCACCTGGTTACGATTAAAAAATGTTTCTAAGGTGCACCAGGTCATTCAACTTTTTTATTTTTAAAAGTAACTAGTTTTAAGTACCTATTTAAAATATGACAGAAAAAATTAGGCGTGCACCAGGTCTCGCAACTTTTTTAATCTGAGTGCGATTTAATTGAATTATATGTCAAATTAAAGACAAATTTATCTAGTTTGCAAAAATAGTCACACATATTAGACGACTTCCATGCTTTTCTAGATATTTAACAATAAGGAAAAGAACGTCAAAAAATTATTTTACAAAAATTAGACTTAACCTAGTAAATAAAAAAAATATTGTTTTTATTGTCATTTAACTTTTTTAATTTTAATCCGATTTTAAAATTTTAAACGTCAAAATAGAGCCTTTTTAATCCAGCTTCCAAAAATATATGCATGTTGGCGAAGACTTCCATACGTTTTTAAATATACCACAAAATATGACAGAAAAAATTGTTCCTGCACCAGGTCTCGCAACTTTTTTAATTTATGTGCGATTTCAATAAATTATATGTCAAATTGAAGACAAATTTATCTAGTTTACAAAAACAGTCTCAAATAATGGGCGACTTCCATGCGTTCCTAGATATTTATGAAAATGTGACTAACCTTAAAGACGGCTTTGACCTCCTCGGCGAGGCCGATTCTGGCGCCGGAATTGGCCGAGATGTATATCCTGGGTATTTTGAGTTCGCGCGCCATCTCCGACGCCAGTCCGAACACCTTGTCCTCCCTGGGTCCGAAGGAACCGATGAAGTAGGTGATGTCGTTGGCGATGACGATGATGTCCCTGCCCTCCGGGTATTCCGGTGTGAACAAGGTCAAGCGCCAAGCCACCATGCCCACGTTGTTTTCCCCGGGTACGCGCTTTTGTTCGCACAAACGAGCCTCCGACTCCGGGTCGAGGCACAATTCTATGCAATCCATCAGTTTGTCCGGAACGTGGACGGTTTCTGCGAGTTTAATGATAAAAATTAGAATTCAACAACCGGAGGCGGAGTTTTAGGATTCATTTAAAACAAAAACGAACTTTCTAAATCAATTGGTTTAGAAGATATTTAAGTTTTCTTACCGTTAAGTTTCTGTTGGCTGTACTGCTTCCATTGGAGGTCGGCCATTTGCCTGAACATGTCGGGGTAGTCGTAGACGTACGTGGTGCCGGCAGATTGCGCTTGGAAACGTTTTTGCTGCAGGAAATCCTTGGCCAGGTACGGGGTGGAGATGGGGAGTCCGTGCATGGGGCCCCCTGACTTGCTGCCGTATGCTTTGAATTTTATCTTGAAAAAATTAAATTTTAACTTTAAATTACAAAAAACAAAACATTGTTAAAATCTGATCACGGACTTGAAAGTTATTAAAGAAAATGTCTACAGTGTACAAATATGACAAAAATGTAAACCTACAAAAACAATTTTAAATCTTTAATAACTTTTTGGTTTATGAACCTATTTCTAAATGCAATACGTGAAATCGATCTCTATTTAGTCTAAATTACAAAAAACAAAACATTGTTAAAATCTGACCACGGACTTGAAAGTTATTAAAGAAAATGTCTACAGTATACAAATATGACAAAAATGTAAACCTACAAAAACAATTTTAAATCTTTAATAACTTTTTAGTTTATGAACCTATTTCTAAATGCAATACGTGAAATCGATCTCTATTTAGTCTAAATTACAAAAAACAAAACATTGTTAAAATCTGATCACGGACTTGAAAGTTATTAAAGAAAATGTCTACAGTATACAAATATGACAAAAATGTAACGTACAAAAACAATTTTAAATCTTTAATAACTTTTTAGTTTATGAACCTATTTCTAAATGCAATACGTGAAATCGATCTCTATTTAGTCTAAATTACAAAAAACAAAACATTGTTAAAATCTGATCACGGACTTGAAAGTTATTAAAGAAAATGTCTACAGTATACAAATATGACAAAAATGTAACGTACAAAAACAATTTTAAATCTTTAATAACTTTTTAGTTTATGAACCTATTTCTAAATGCAATACGTGAAATCGATCTCTATTTAGTCTAAATTACAAAAAACAAAACATTGTTAAAATCTGATCACGGACTTGAAAGTTATTAAAGAAAATGTCTACAGTATACAAGTGTGACAAAAATGTAACCTAAAAAATAATTTTTAATCTTTAATAACTTTTTTGTTTATTCATCGAATTCTAAATGCAATACGTGAAATCGATCTCTATTTAGTCTAAATTACAAAAAACAAAACATTGTTAAAATCTGATCACGGACTTGAAAGTTACTAAAGAAAATGTCTACAGTATACAAGTATGACAAAAATGTAACCTAAAAAACAATTTTTAATCTTTAATAACTTTTTTGTTTATTCATCGAATTCTAAATGCAATACGTGAAATCGATCTCTATTTAGTCTAAATTACAAAAAACAAAACATTGTTAAAATCTGATCACGGACTTGAAAGTTATTAAAGAAAATGTCTACAGTATACAAATATGACAAAAATGTAACCTAAAAAACAATTTTTAATCTTTAATAACTTTTTTGTTTATTCATCGAATTCTAAATGCAATACGTGAAATCGATCTCTATTTAGTCTAAATTACAAAAAACAAAACATTGTTAAAATCTGATCACGGACTTGAAAGTTATTAAAGAAAATGTCTACAGTATACAAGTATGACAAAAATGTAACCTAAAAAACAATTTTTAATCTTTAATAACTTTTTTGTTTATTCATCGAATTCTAAATGCAATACGTGAAATCGATCTCTATTTAGTCTAAATTACAAAAAACAAAACATTGTTAAAATCTGATCACGGACTTGAAAGTTATTAAAGAAAATGTCTACAGTATACAAGTATGACAAAAATGTAACCTAAAAAACAATTTTTAATCTTTAATAACTTTTTTGTTTATTCATCGAATTCTAAATGCAATACGTGAAATCGATCTCTATTTAGTCTAAATTACAAAAAACAAAACATTGTTAAAATCTGATCACGGACTTGAAAGTTATTAAAGAAAATGTCTACAGTATACAAGTATGACAAAAATGTAACCTAAAAAACAATTTTTAATCTTTAATAACTTTTTTGTTTATTCATCGAATTCTAAATGCAATACGTGAAATCGATCTCTATTTAGTCTAAATTACAAAAAACAAAACATTGTTAAAATCTGATCACGGACTTGAAAGTTATTAAAGAAAATGTCTACAGTATACAAGTATGACAAAAATGTAACCTAAAAAACAATTTTTAATCTTTAATAACTTTTTTGTTTATTCATCGAATTCTAAATGCAATACGTGAAATCGATCTCTATTTAGTCTAAATTACAAAAAACAAAACATTGTTAAAATCTGATCACGGACTTGAAAGTTATTAAAGAAAATGTCTACAGTATACAAATATGACAAAAATGTAACGTACAAAAACAATTTTAAATCTTTAATAACTTTTTAGTTTATGAACCTATTTCTAAATGCAATACGTGAAATCGATCTCTATTTAGTCTAAATTACAAAAAACAAAACATTGTTAAAATCTGATCACGGACTTGAAAGTTATTAAAGAAAATGTCTACAGTATACAAGTGTGACAAAAATGTAACCTAAAAAATAATTTTTAATCTTTAATAACTTTTTTGTTTATTCATCGAATTCTAAATGCAATACGTGAAATCGATCTCTATTTAGTCTAAATTACAAAAAACAAAACATTGTTAAAATCTGATCACGGACTTGAAAGTTACTAAAGAAAATGTCTACAGTATACAAGTATGACAAAAATGTAACCTAAAAAACAATTTTTAATCTTTAATAACTTTTTTGTTTATTCATCGAATTCTAAATGCAATACGTGAAATCGATCTCTATTTAGTCTAAATTACAAAAAACAAAACATTGTTAAAATCTGATCACGGACTTGAAAGTTATTAAAGAAAATGTCTACAGTATACAAGTATGACAAAAATGTAACCTAAAAAACAATTTTTAATCTTTAATAACTTTTTAGTTTATTCATTGATTTCTAAATGCAATACGTGAAATCGATCTCTATTTAGTCTAAATTACAAAAAACAAAACATTGTTAAAATCTGATCACGGACTTGAAAGTTATTAAAGAAAATGTCTACAGTATACAAATATGACAAAAATGTAACCTAAAAAACAATTTTTAATCTTTAATAACTTTTTTGTTTATTCATCGAATTCTAAATGCAATACGTGAAATCGATCTCTATTTAGTCTAAATTACAAAAAACAAAACATTGTTAAAATCTGATCACGGACTTGAAAGTTATTAAAGAAAATGTCTACAGTATACAAGTATGACAAAAATGTAACCTAAAAAACAATTTTTAATCTTTAATAACTTTTTTGTTTATTCATCGAATTCTAAATGCAATACGTGAAATCGATCTCTATTTAGTCTAAATTACAAAAAACAAAACATTGTTAAAATCTGATCACGGACTTGAAAGTTATTAAAGAAAATGTCTACAGTATACAAGTATGACAAAAATGTAACCTAAAAAACAATTTTTAATCTTTAATAACTTTTTTGTTTATTCATCGAATTCTAAATGCAATACGTGAAATCGATCTCTATTTAGTCTAAATTACAAAAAACAAAACATTGTTAAAATCTGATCACGGACTTGAAAGTTATTAAAGAAAATGTCTACAGTATACAAGTATGACAAAAATGTAACCTAAAAAACAATTTTTAATCTTTAATAACTTTTTTGTTTATTCATCGAATTCTAAATGCAATACGTGAAATCGATCTCTATTTAGTCTAAATTACAAAAAACAAAACATTGTTAAAATCTGATCACGGACTTGAAAGTTATTAAAGAAAATGTCTACAGTATACAAGTATGACAAAAATGTAACCTAAAAAACAATTTTTAATCTTTAATAACTTTTTTGTTTATTCATCGAATTCTAAATGCAATACGTGAAATCGATCTCTATTTAGTCTAAATTACAAAAAACAAAACATTGTTAAAATCTGATCACGGACTTGAAAGTTATTAAAGAAAATGTCTACAGTATACAAGTATGACAAAAATGTAACCTAAAAAACAATTTTTAATCTTTAATAACTTTTTTGTTTATTCATCGAATTCTAAATGCAATACGTGAAATCGATCTCTATTTAGTCTAAATTACAAAAAACAAAACATTGTTAAAATCTGATCACGGACTTGAAAGTTATTAAAGAAAATGTCTACAGTATACAAGTATGACAAAAATGTAACCTAAAAAACAATTTTTAATCTTTAATAACTTTTTTGTTTATTCATCGAATTCTAAATGCAATACGTGAAATCGATCTCTATTTAGTCTAAATTACAAAAAACAAAACATTGTTAAAATCTGATCACGGACTTGAAAGTTATTAAAGAAAATGTCTACAGTATACAAGTGTGACAAAAATGTAACCTAAAAAATAATTTTTAATCTTTAATAACTTTTTTGTTTATTCATCGAATTCTAAATGCAATACGTTAAATCGATCTCTATTTAGTCTAAATTACAAAAAACAAAACATTGTTAAAATCTGATCACGGACTTGAAAGTTATTAAAGAAAATGTCTACAGTATACAAGTGTGACAAAAATGTAACCTAAAAAATAATTTTTAATCTTTAATAACTTTTTTGTTTATTCATCGAATTCTAAATGCAATACGTTAAATCGATCTCTATTTAGTCTAAATTACAAAAAACAAAACATTGTTAAAATCTGATCACGGACTTGAAAGTTATTAAAGAAAATGTCTACAGTATACAAGTGTGACAAAAATGTAACCTAAAAAATAATTTTTAATCTTTAATAACTTTTTTGTTTATTCATCGAATTCTAAATGCAATACGTTAAATCGATCTCTATTTAGTCTAAATTACAAAAAACAAAACATTGTTAAAATCTGATCACGGACTTGAATGTTATTAAAGAAAATGTCTACAGTATACAAGTATGACAAAAATGTAACCTAAAAAACAATTTTTAATCTTTAATAACTTTTTTGTTTATTCATCGAATTCTAAATGCAATACGTGAAATCGATCTCTATTTAGTCTAAATTACAAAAAACAAAACATTGTTGAAATCTGATCACGGACTTGAAAGTTATTAAAGAAAATGTCTACAGTATACAAGTATGACAAAAATGTAACCTAAAAAACAATTTTTAATCTTTAATAACTTTTTTGTTTATTCATCGAATTCTAAATGCAATACGTGAAATCGATCTCTATTTAGTCTAAATTACAAAAAACAAAACATTGTTAAAATCTGATCACGGACTTGAAAGTTATTAAAGAAAATGTCTACAGTATACAAGTGTGACAAAAATGTAACCTAAAAAATAATTTTTAATCTTTAATAACTTTTTTGTTTATTCATCGAATTCTAAATGCAATACGTGAAATCGATCTCTATTTAGTCTAAATTACAAAAAACAAAACATTTTTAAAATCTGATCACGGACTTGAAAGTTATTAAAGAAAATGTCAACAGTATACAAGTATGACAAAAATGTAACCTAAAAAACAATTTTTAATCTTTAATAACTTTTTTGTTTATTCATCGAATTCTAAATGCAATACGTGAAATCGATCTCTATTTAGTCTAAATTACAAAAAACAAAACATTGTTAAAATCTGATCACGGACTTGAAAGTTATTAAAGAAAATGTCTACAGTATACAAGTATGACAAAAATGTAACCTAAAAAACAATTTTTAATCTTTAATAACTTTTTTGTTTATTCATCGAATTCTAAATGCAATACGTGAAATCGATCTCTATTTAGTCTAAATTACAAAAAACAAAACATTGTTAAAATCTGATCACGGACTTGAAAGTTATTAAAGAAAATGTCTACAGTATACAAATATGACAAAAATGTAACGTACAAAAACAATTTTAAATCTTTAATAACTTTTTAGTTTATGAACCTATTTCTAAATGCAATACGTGAAATCGATCTCTATTTAGTCTAAATTACAAAAAACAAAACATTGTTAAAATCTGATCACGGACTTGAAAGTTATTAAAGAAAATGTCTACAGTATACAAGTGTGACAAAAATGTAACCTAAAAAATAATTTTTAATCTTTAATAACTTTTTTGTTTATTCATCGAATTCTAAATGCAATACGTGAAATCGATCTCTATTTAGTCTAAATTACAAAAAACAAAACATTGTTAAAATCTGATCACGGACTTGAAAGTTACTAAAGAAAATGTCTACAGTATACAAGTATGACAAAAATGTAACCTAAAAAACAATTTTTAATCTTTAATAACTTTTTTGTTTATTCATCGAATTCTAAATGCAATACGTGAAATCGATCTCTATTTAGTCTAAATTACAAAAAACAAAACATTGTTAAAATCTGATCACGGACTTGAAAGTTATTAAAGAAAATGTCTACAGTATACAAGTATGACAAAAATGTAACCTAAAAAACAATTTTTAATCTTTAATAACTTTTTAGTTTATTCATTGATTTCTAAATGCAATACGTGAAATCGATCTCTATTTAGTCTAAATTACAAAAAACAAAACATTGTTAAAATCTGATCACGGACTTGAAAGTTATTAAAGAAAATGTCTACAGTATACAAATATGACAAAAATGTAACCTAAAAAACAATTTTTAATCTTTAATAACTTTTTTGTTTATTCATCGAATTCTAAATGCAATACGTGAAATCGATCTCTATTTAGTCTAAATTACAAAAAACAAAACATTGTTAAAATCTGATCACGGACTTGAAAGTTATTAAAGAAAATGTCTACAGTATACAAGTATGACAAAAATGTAACCTAAAAAACAATTTTTAATCTTTAATAACTTTTTTGTTTATTCATCGAATTCTAAATGCAATACGTGAAATCGATCTCTATTTAGTCTAAATTACAAAAAACAAAACATTGTTAAAATCTGATCACGGACTTGAAAGTTATTAAAGAAAATGTCTACAGTATACAAGTATGACAAAAATGTAACCTAAAAAACAATTTTTAATCTTTAATAACTTTTTTGTTTATTCATCGAATTCTAAATGCAATACGTGAAATCGATCTCTATTTAGTCTAAATTACAAAAAACAAAACATTGTTAAAATCTGATCACGGACTTGAAAGTTATTAAAGAAAATGTCTACAGTATACAAGTATGACAAAAATGTAACCTAAAAAACAATTTTTAATCTTTAATAACTTTTTTGTTTATTCATCGAATTCTAAATGCAATACGTGAAATCGATCTCTATTTAGTCTAAATTACAAAAAACAAAACATTGTTAAAATCTGATCACGGACTTGAAAGTTATTAAAGAAAATGTCTACAGTATACAAGTATGACAAAAATGTAACCTAAAAAACAATTTTTAATCTTTAATAACTTTTTTGTTTATTCATCGAATTCTAAATGCAATACGTGAAATCGATCTCTATTTAGTCTAAATTACAAAAAACAAAACATTGTTAAAATCTGATCACGGACTTGAAAGTTATTAAAGAAAATGTCTACAGTATACAAGTATGACAAAAATGTAACCTAAAAAACAATTTTTAATCTTTAATAACTTTTTTGTTTATTCATCGAATTCTAAATGCAATACGTGAAATCGATCTCTATTTAGTCTAAATTACAAAAAACAAAACATTGTTAAAATCTGATCACGGACTTGAAAGTTATTAAAGAAAATGTCTACAGTATACAAGTATGACAAAAATGTAACCTAAAAAACAATTTTTAATCTTTAATAACTTTTTTGTTTATTCATCGAATTCTAAATGCAATACGTGAAATCGATCTCTATTTAGTCTAAATTACAAAAAACAAAACATTGTTAAAATCTGATCACGGACTTGAAAGTTATTAAAGAAAATGTCTACAGTATACAAGTGTGACAAAAATGTAACCTAAAAAATAATTTTTAATCTTTAATAACTTTTTTGTTTATTCATCGAATTCTAAATGCAATACGTTAAATCGATCTCTATTTAGTCTAAATTACAAAAAACAAAACATTGTTAAAATCTGATCACGGACTTGAAAGTTATTAAAGAAAATGTCTACAGTATACAAGTGTGACAAAAATGTAACCTAAAAAATAATTTTTAATCTTTAATAACTTTTTTGTTTATTCATCGAATTCTAAATGCAATACGTTAAATCGATCTCTATTTAGTCTAAATTACAAAAAACAAAACATTGTTAAAATCTGATCACGGACTTGAAAGTTATTAAAGAAAATGTCTACAGTATACAAGTGTGACAAAAATGTAACCTAAAAAATAATTTTTAATCTTTAATAACTTTTTTGTTTATTCATCGAATTCTAAATGCAATACGTTAAATCGATCTCTATTTAGTCTAAATTACAAAAAACAAAACATTGTTAAAATCTGATCACGGACTTGAATGTTATTAAAGAAAATGTCTACAGTATACAAGTATGACAAAAATGTAACCTAAAAAACAATTTTTAATCTTTAATAACTTTTTTGTTTATTCATCGAATTCTAAATGCAATACGTGAAATCGATCTCTATTTAGTCTAAATTACAAAAAACAAAACATTGTTGAAATCTGATCACGGACTTGAAAGTTATTAAAGAAAATGTCTACAGTATACAAGTATGACAAAAATGTAACCTAAAAAACAATTTTTAATCTTTAATAACTTTTTTGTTTATTCATCGAATTCTAAATGCAATACGTGAAATCGATCTCTATTTAGTCTAAATTACAAAAAACAAAACATTGTTAAAATCTGATCACGGACTTGAAAGTTATTAAAGAAAATGTCTACAGTATACAAGTGTGACAAAAATGTAACCTAAAAAATAATTTTTAATCTTTAATAACTTTTTTGTTTATTCATCGAATTCTAAATGCAATACGTGAAATCGATCTCTATTTAGTCTAAATTACAAAAAACAAAACATTGTTGAAATCTGATCACGGACTTGAAAGTTATTAAAGAAAATGTCTTCAGTATACAAGTATGACAAAAATGTAACCTAAAAAACAATTTTTAATCTTTAATAACTTTTTTGTTCATTCATCAAATTCTAAATGCAATACGTGAAATCGATCTCTATTTAGTCTAAATTACAAAAAACAAAACATTTTTAAAATCTGATCACGGACTTGAAAGTTATTAAAGAAAATGTCAACAGTATACAAGTATGACAAAAATGTAACGTTCAAAAACAATTTTAAATCTTTAATAACTTTTTAGTTTATGAACTGATTTCTAAATGCAATACGTGAAATCGATCTCTATTGTATCTAAATTACAAAAAATAAAACATCGTTAAAATCCGATAACAGACTTTAAAGTTATTAACCAAAACGTCTGCTACTTACAATTCCTGTTTCGGGGTCTAGTTCTTCCGTGTACATGTTGATGTCCAGGTAGTAGCCGCTGTCGTTGGCCAGGCACAACCTGATGGTGGAGGTTTCCGCGTTTGGCGACGGTCGAATTATCAACTTGATTTCGGCCTGCAGAACTCTTAGTTTCCACAATCTTGGACCGTAACGCATAACCATGTTTGTTACCTTAAGAAAAGAAAAATTGTTAAAGTTTGAGGTGGTGTAATTTTTTAAAAACATTATGCAACAAATTAAAGTTAAACTTCCGACTCACTGCCTCCTCGATTTTGGCCGGATCCATGATGACCGTGGGCATGAAATTGAGGAAAATGTGGTTGCAATCCGTTCTTTTGCTTTGAGGATGCGAAAATGCCACCTCCAGCTCGTCCATGGCTTCCAGTAGAACGCGTTCGCCCTCGTTCTGCAAATACTCGAAGGAGGCCTCCTTGGTGATGAGGTCCGAGTGCCTGATGATGCTCCTGATGAAGAAACGGTAGTCGGTCACTTCTTTCCCGGGCGCGACCTACAGATTCAAAAATTGTGCACCAGGTCTCGTATCTTTTTTATTTATGCTCCGATTTTAAAAATTTATACGTCAAAAGAAGGCTTAACTAATCTAGTTTAAAAAATACACACATGTTGGTAGGCGACTTCCATGGGTTTCTAGATAAACAGCAAAGTACGTCGAAAAAATCACTTACCTTGGCTTTTCCGAGGTACAAGTGCATCTTCTGGTTGGCGGTCGGGAGCGCTTCCAAGTTGTAGGTCCTCATCATGCGGCTCAGCTCCAACTGGAACGCGCTGGCCGGTTCCAAGTGCCTGTAGATTTTGTCCTCGGTGAAGTCGTCCTTGGCCCTGTACGTGAAGAATTTGGGCGTCTGCTTGTGCTTCAAGGCGGAGAAGGTGATTCTCCTGATGCCGCGTTGCAGGAGTTCCTCCCTGTGTTTCAGGCAGAATTTGCCGAACTGTCTGGACATGGTGGAGTCGTCCGAGTCCCCCTTGTCCTTGATCCCCACCAGAAGGATGTGGATCGGTTCTTGGACGATGTTTCTATCCTCTGGAATTGCTCTAAAAACATATTTTAAAAAATTTAATTGTGCACCAGGTCCGATAACTTCTTTATTTGTGAAGGGATTTTAATAAATTATACATCAAATTTAAGGGACAATAGTAACTGAAAAAATAAATCACTTTTTAACTTTAATTTCAAAATGGCTTAAAGACAATCAGCTATCTCTAAATATAGGTAGATAAAGCAGTGTTTATAACTTTTGTTAATTACATAGATATGTATCCTGCCACTGTTAATATTAAAATCGACAACCATTTAATAAAAAGAGTAAAAAGTACAAAATACCTTGGAGTAGTTATTGATACACAAATAAGGTTGCGGGAGCATATCGAATGGGTTACAAAGTTTCTTAGGTATCTCCTATTTGTTTTTGCAAAATAAAGTCTATTTTAAACACAAAATCACTGTTGGTAATTTACTACGGTCTATTTAATAGCCTTGCCACTTATGGAATTGCCGCATGGGGCTCTGCTTATGAGAATGCTCTTTTGCCACTTTTAAACTTGCAGAAAAGGGTACTAAAGGTAATTCTGGGAAATGATCAGTTATTAAGCTTGCAGTTGGTAAAAAAACTAGTCTCTACAATGGTATAAAAATCTTCAACATGTTACCTAATAACATCAAAGTAGTAAATAACCCAAAAAACCAATTTACTTTTAAGTTTAAACAAAATTTGTTAACAATGAATTATTGGTACAGTTATTGGTAATCCAGTCTTTTAACATTTAATGTTAAAAGACTGGATTACCAATAACTGTACCAATAATTCATTGTTAACTTAATAGTATTAAATGTTGGAATTATAAACTGTAGTCGCAATGACAATGAAAATATTAGGTATACTTATTATTTTAGTTTTAATTTTAATTTTTAGGTTATGTAGGTACCGGACCTATGTACAGGTAATTTATTACCTCCAATATGCGGAAATTATATTTTCTGTAAACATGTAGGTATCTGGATGTTAAATAAATAAAATAAATTTAAGGTAATTTTGAAGAATTTCAGAAAATATATACATGTTAAATTAACATTGTTAATGGTCGACTTCCATGCGTTTCTAGATAATCATAAAAATATGTCATAACGAATAACTTTTTTGTAACAGTTTTTACATAAGAAACGAACATTTGTTTTACAATATTAATTAAATAATATAAAATATTTCGTGTGGGTAATTGTCGTATAAAGCTGCAATCTATAAAATAATATTAAAATAATATAACACTATAAAGTTTCAGCTGCATTTTTTTGTAGGTATAATCGTGTCATCTTTGACAGAGCCACCGCGCATGCGCGGTCGGCGATTCGCTTTTGTCACTTTGGCAGCCATAATAGCAAAACAATCGGTAATTTGACATGTTAGGCGTCCTTTTGATAAAATGAGTATATTATTGCAGTTTTTTGTGTTGCGGTGCGATATTTTAGTGCGCGAGTGACCTTTTTTTCGTCTGGAGATGCAATAACAACGATGGTGACAGGGAAAGGGCTTTAAAGGTAAAAATTGTGATTTTGCTTGTTTCAGTTGTTTTTTAATGTTTTTTTTCTTTGTTACAGTGTAAAGACAATATAAAACAAAATCTTTCGTGTTGGTTACTGTCGTATAAAACTGCAATCGATAAAATAATATTAAAGAAATAAATATAACAAGTTTCAGAAGCATTTGTTTTAAATCGTGTCTGACAGAGCCACCGCGCATGCGCTGCCGGCGATTCGCTTTTGTCACTTTGGCAGCCATAATTGCAAAACGATCGGCAAAGTGCTTGGCTTGGCGTCCTTTTGATAAAAATTTAAATATTATTGACTTTTGTGAGTTTCGGTGCGGTATTTTAGTGCGTGAGTGACCTTTTTTTCGTCTGGAGATGCAATAACAACGATGGTGGCAGGGAAAGGGCTTTAAAGGTAAAAATTGTGATTTTGCTTGTTTCAGTTGTTTTTTAATGTTTTTTTTCTTTGTTACAGTGTAAAGACAATATAAAACAAAATCTTTCGTGTTGGTTACTGTCGTATAAAACTGCAATCGATAAAATAATATTAAAGAAATAAATATAACAAGTTTCAGAAGCATTTGTTTTAAATCGTGTCTGACAGAGCCACCGCGCATGCGCTGCCGGCGATTCGCTTTTGTCACTTTGGCAGCCATAATTGCAAAACGATCGGCAAAGTGCTTGGCTTGGCGTCCTTTTGATAAAAATGCAAATATTATTGACTTTTTTGAGTTTCAGTGCGGTATTTTAGTGCGCGAGTGACCTTTTTTTCGTCTGGAGATGCAATAACAACGATGGTGGCAGGGAAAGGGCTTTCAAGGTAAAAATTGTGATTTTGCTTGTTTGAGTTGTTTTTTAATGTTTTTTTTCTTTGTTACAGGTAGGTTCAGTACGGGACTGATTAACTAGGCAATCGGCAACAAAGTAGTAAGTGATTTTTAAATATTTTTTAGTAATGAGCATTTTTAAGTGATTTTATGTTTTAATCCTTATATACAGTGTGACCCATTTGTTTGCGACTCATCCCTGTAAAATATTTTTCTTACTACCTCGACTCAAAATACGTTGTTTCGTCCCCGATTCCACGTTTTATGCATTGGTCAAGCTTTACGCGGGAGTAAACATTTTTTAGTCGTGTGCTTAACATTCAAATTTTGTACTGCCAACATGAGAAACACAAAAATATGACAGTTTTAAACCATGGTGGGTGAGTCGCAAACAAATCACTAAACAACATAAAAATAATTGTTTTAAATATTTAAATGCTTAAACAAAAACAACATAATATTTAAATAAACATTTTAAATTGCTTAAAATAAGATATTTTAAATTGTTTAAATTAAAAACAAAGTGTAAAATAGCATTGTTTTGACATTTCTAATATCTGATTAAAATTTTTTGAACTAATAAACAAAAATCTTCAAATAACACTTTAAACTGTTATACAAAACATTTCAATTCTTGAAACAAACGCTTGTTAAAGATTGTAGTAATGGGACATTCATTAATTATGTGAGGAATTTTTCTGATAATTATATTTTGAACCCCCCTCCCCCCTCTAATTTATTATTTATTTTAGCCATTAAACTTTCTTTGGGGACAACATAAATTAATCCCGGCGCATCCGCCATTTTTACAAAACAACATTTTTGAAAATGTTTGCATACATTTCTTACTTTTTGACTCTTATGAAGATAGTTAAGTTTCAAATTTTTAAATTAGTTTTTAACCCAAGCCCCAACCACTTAAAAAAATCCTAAATCTGATTTTTTCAGTTTTTTTTAAGTGGTCGGGGTTCAGGTTAAAAATTAATTTAAAAATCTGAAACTTTGGAAGGGTACTTCAGAAGGGTAAAAAAGTTAAAAAAGTTTTTTTCATACCTTTTTCTGATTTTTTCTGTAAAACTCTTTATTGCAGAAAACTATAGCCTTGCCTCTAGTCTACTACTTTGTTTTCTTTGTAAAATATCGTATAAGGTTGCATTTTTTACTTTTGCTGGATTTTATGATATTAATTTTTTTTTCAATTTTTTTTTTAAATTTGAAATATTTGTTGAAATTAAAAAAATTCAATTGTGCACCAGGTCCTATGTTAATAAATTATACCTTAAATTTAAGGTAATTTTGTATACTTTCAGAAAATATATATATGTTAGTGGGCGACTTCCATGCGTTCCTAGATAATCACAAAAAGTATGTTATAAAGTTTGAGGGCGAATAACTTTTTTGTTTATTAACCGATTTTTACGTGTAATGCATCAAATGAAAGTGTAGATTCGTTAAAAACTCACCTTATGCCGTCGTTGGAGAGGCTGACGTTGATGCTGGTGCTGTTCCTGGACTCGCTGCCCGACTCGATGGCGTTGAGATCCCTGGGGTGCACCATGGCGGGGCTGGCGAAATCTTCGATCAGATCGAAGATTTCGTCGTAGTATTGCTCGAAGTTGGCGAAACTCTCGAACGCGGCCACGCACCCGGTGCGCTGGAAGCTGTCGTACACTTTCACTTGTTGCTCGTCGTTTTCCGTCTCCTTAAAAAACACATACATGGCTACAGTTTTTCAAGTTTTACTTAAAAAAGGACAACTTTGGCGATTTGTTAAACAAATATTAGAAATATTCTCCAACCCCAAAACAAAACACAAAGTGCTTAAATTCTTTTGACAGTTTAATTGTGAAATGAAAAATTTGATGACGTAAAAAAATTTACAAATTTTGTAAATTTTTCCTATTTTGACACTTTAAAAAAATAAAAACCATTAAAAGAAAATAAAAAAATCAATGAAAGAAAAAAATTAAATGTTATATTTGACGTTTCAAATGTCAATATTTCGGTTAAAAAAGAACATAAGTTTCTGTCATTTTTTCATGAATTTTTTGACAGCTTAATGGTTAAATGAAAAATTTGAAAATTGTAAATTTTTCATATTTGACACTTAAAGAAATAAAAATAAATAAAAGCCATTAAAAGAAAAGAAAAAAATCCATGAAATATAAAAATGAAATGTCACATTTGACAGAGCCACCGCGCATGCCCTTGTTTTTTTGACAGTTAAAATGTCAAATGAAAAATTTGAAAATGTCAAGAAATTTACAAATTTTGTAAATTTTTCATGTTTTGACAGTTTAAAGAAATAAAAAAATCAATGAAAGAAAAAATGAAATGTCACATTTGACGTTTCAAACGTCAATAATTAGGTTAAAAAAAGAACATGACAATTTTGACGTTTTAAATTTCTGTCATTTTTTCATGATTTTTTTGACAGTTTAAATATCAAATGAAAAATTTGAAAACGGCGAACAATTTACAAATTTTGTAGTTTTTTCATATTTTTGACGGTTTAATTTTCAAATAAAAAATTTGAAAATGTCAAAAAATTTATAAATTTTCAAATTTTTTTTATATTTTGAGATTTAAAAAAAAGAAAAACCATTGAAAGAAAATAACGAAAAACATGGCAATTTTGACATGCAAAGTTTCTGTCATGTTTTCATTATTTTTTGACAGTTTAAACGTCAAATGAAATATTTGAAAATATCAAGAAATTTACAAATTTTGTAAATTTTTCATGTTTTGACAGTTTAAAGAAATAAAAAAATAAAAACTCTTAAAAGAAAATAAAAAAATCAATGAAAGAAAAAATGAAATGTCCCATTTGACGTTTCAAACGTCAATAATTAGGTTAAAAAAAGAACATGGCAATTTTGACATTCAAAGTTTCTGTCATTTTTTCATTATTTTTTTGACAGTTTAAACGTCTAATGGAAAATTATAAAATGTCAAAAAATTTACAAATTTTGTAATTTTTTCATATTTTGAAATAAAAAAAAATAAAAACCATTAAAAGAAAAGAAAATTTGTGAAATAGTTTTTTGACGGTTTAATTTTCAAATGAAAAATTTGAAAATGTCAAAAAATGTACAAATTTTGTAAATTTTTTATATTTTGACATTTTAAAAAAGAAAAACCATTGAAAGAAAATAAAGTTTCTGTCATTTTTTCATGATTTCTTTGACATTTCAAACGACAAATGAAAAATTCGAAAGCTCACCTGCATCTGGTTGAGTTTAATGAGACGGTTGGGATGCGACGGGGGCAGCATGAACTGGAAGTGCACCACCGGCACTTCACCGGAAAGTTCCAGATGCTGCAACGTCGCGATGTCGTAGCTGACGTACGCCCTGCGAACGTACACCTCCAAAGCGGCGTTGCACACCGCGCGATTCGTGTGGTAGAAGAAGTCGTGCAAAATGTCGAAAATCGACGTCTCCGACATGATCAACTTCTGCAGGTTCTCCGGGTGGAAATCGTGCCCGTACATGTCCACGGCGGATAAAAATATGCTCTCCATCTGGTTGTGTCGCAGCTCGTAGGCCGGCTGGTGCGCGGCGATCAGAACCTGCCTCGCTCGCAGGGCGACTCGGCTGTGCTCGCTTCGGTTCAGGTTGGTCAACTCGGTCAGGGCGGCCGCCAGTTCGTCGGTTAGGCCGGGCTCGTTGCCCCACAGGTGGTCGATCAGCATGGTGATCAGCAAGTTTTTCTTCGACACTTGGCTGTGCGAGAATATCGTGCTGCTGACGGCGGCCATGTCGTCTTTGTGTTTGTCGCGCAGGAGAGATACGCATTTGTCGTACGAGCCTGGAAGACAGTTGAACGTCAAGGTGTTATTTTGCTTCGGTGGTCGATTTAAAATGAATGAATGAGGTGGCTATGTCGATTAGTTTGAGTGTTATTAGCTACAGGTTTTGAAGTTTTACCAGAAAAATATTGTACATTATTTTATGAAATTAAGAAAATCATGGGTAGAGTTTTTAGAGTCTCACTTAAAAAATTATGAGGATTTTGGTGAAATTTATGAAAATATATAATCTAGATACTAATTATAATGCAAACTTTGTTTCATTATGACCTAAAATAATTAAGTAATGACAGTTTTAAAAAAAATTACACGCAAAATTACTTTTTAAAATTAATAAAATCATGGGTATAGTTTTTAGAGGTTCACTTAAAAAATTCTGAGGATATTGGTGAAATTTTTAAAAATATATAATTTAGATACTAATTCCTATAATATAATGCAAACTTTATTTCATTATGACTAGTGTTGCAAACAAGGAAAAGTTCGGTCGAAAAGTTGGAAAAGTTCGGCACCCCCTATGAAAAGTTGGAAAAGTTATTAGGTGGGAGCCAATGAACAATGAGTTGACTTCTAACCAGTGTTTCCACTACCATACATTTTTTTTGGCAGATAATTTGGTCAAAATTCAATATAAATCGCTAGATTTGAAGTGTTTTTAGTAAAACATGCTAAAAGCATTGTTTTTTGGAATAACTTTTTGTCAAACTTAAAGCGAAACGCTCTCACCATAGTAGGCAACCACGACTGCATCGGTGCATTCATAGTTGCCTATGCGCTTAACACCTCGTTATTTGCATTTGGCGGCAAATAACCATATCTTGTGTTTTTTTAAACACTTTTAGACAGCCATCTTAATTATTAAAATCTGTTAATCGATCAAGATCCTTGTTTGAAGTTACCAAGGGTATAAAAAGGAGTAACTCTTTTTAAATAGTTCGCCGAGTTAATTTCTTGGTCTAGGTAAGTTGTTGTTTGCATGGTGTGGGGTTAGTGGAGCAAAGATGTTAATAATTTTGATTTCTAGATCGGTTTTGCTATATTGAAGACGTTTGTAGCCTGTAAAGTAGAATTGGGAGGTCTTAACTGGCAGCCCCCATACAATAAAGCTAGGTGTTGTAGTGCATTGTATTTATTTATTTTTACACTTTTCGAATCCCCTTACACCCTGAGATCACCGGAGTAGGACACTCATCGTGTTCCGGTACAAACTTTATCAAAAATGGTGTCTGTTAACAGCATTTTCTATTATATAAAGATTCTCTTATTATAACGTATTTTAAATTTATACACAGTATGAAAAAAATATTATTTTTTTTAATTATGGAAATTTACAAGTGAAAATATAAAAGTGGAAAAGAAAAAAGTTTTCTTTTCTTTTTCTTTTTAAATTTTTACTTGTAAATTTCCATAATTTTTAACAATAATTTTAATAATTTTTGCTTCATATTTTTTTGTAATTATTTTTTATTTTGGATGTGTTTTTTATGGTGTGTATAAATTTCTATTCCTTTTTACTTAAAAAATTTGATTTTTTTAATTTAAACCTAGTTTATTTTTGTTGTTATTATGTTGTCTGTTCATTTTATTTTGTTATTTTTTCCTATAAAATAATGCAAACTTTGTTTGATTATGATCTAAAATAATTAAGTAATGGCAGTTTAAAAAAAAATTGCATGCAAAATTATTCATTGAAATTAAAAAAATCATGGGTATAGTTTTTAGAATTTCACTTAAATAATTCTGAGGATTTTGGTGAAATTTTTGAAAATATATAATTTAGATACTAATTCCTATAAAATAATTCAAACTTTGTTTCATTATGACCTAAATTAATGACAAAAATTACACGCAAAATTACTATTTGAAATTAATGAAAACATGGGTACAGTTTTTAGAGTCTCACTTAAAAAATTCTTAGGATTTTCTTGAAATTTTCGAAAATATATAATTTACATACTAATTCCTATAAAATAATGCAAACTTTGTATTATTATAACCTAAAATAATTAAGTCATAGCAGTTTTAAAAAATTTTACATGCAAAATTATTATTTGATATTAAAAAAATCATGGGTATAGTTTTTAGAGTTTCGCTTAAAAAATTCTGAGGAATTTGGTGAAATTTTTGAAAATATATAATTTAGATACTACTTCATATAAAATAATGCAAACTTTGTTTTATTATAACATAAAATAATTAAGTCATAGCAGTTTTAAAAAATTTTCTATGCAAAATTATTATTTGAAATTAAAAAAATCATGAATATAGTTTTTTGAGTGTCACTTAAGAAATTCTAAGGATTTTGGTGAAATTTTTGAAAATATATAATTTAGATACTAATTCCTATAAAATAATGCAAACTTTGTTTTATTATAACCTAAAATAATTAAGTCATAGCAGTTTTAAAATAATTTCTATGCAAAATTATTATTTGAAATTAAAAAAATCATGAATATAGTTTTTTGAGTGTCACTTAAAAAATTCTAAGGATTTTGGTGAAATTTTTGAAAATATATAATTTAGATACAAATTCCTATAAAATAATGCAAACTTGGTTTAATTATGACTCATAACAATTGAGTTAAGGTAGTTTAAAAACTCACCGTGTTGGAAGTCCGACTCGACCAGGTAGTACTGCTTGAGCATCTCCTGGACGGCGGCCTTCATCCTGCCTCTGATGCCGTTCCTGTAGCGCTGCACCAGCTGCACGATGCCCTCGGTGGCGAGGAAGAAGCCGTCTCTGTCGGCCCTCTTCTGCATCGAGGCGGCGTGCGCGTCGATAACGGAAGCGATCTGCTGCGACGGGAACTGCGCCAGAACGGAAGTGATGTTGCGCTCGTACAGCGACATCAGCTTGCGGATCTTCTTCTCGACGGCGACGGGGATGCGGCCGGAAATCGACGCCATCACCTCCTGCAGCTCCAGCAGCGGCAAGCTAGGGTCTCGCAGGGACGACATGAACTTTTCTATAACCTACAAATAACAATTTTACACTTGACATTTGACATTGGAAATGTCACATTTGACGTTCAAAATGTCAATAATTAGGATTTTTTTGACGTTTAAAATGTCAATAATTAGGATCTTTTTGACAGTTTAAATGTCAAATGAAAAATTTGAAAAAAATTTCATATATTTACGTTATAAAGTTATAAAAAAAATAAAAATCATTAAAAAAAATTAAAAAATCAATTAAAGAAAAAAGTGAAATATCACATTTGACGTTTTAGCCTAGAAATACCAATTACCAGTTAAAATGACATTTGAAATGTGACATTTGACGATTTAACCTAGAAATACCAATTTCACAGTTGAAATAACAAATTTTACATTTGAGATGTCGCATTTGACGTTTAAAATTTGAAAATGTCAAAAAATTTACAAATTTTCTGAAATTTTTCATATTTTTACATTTTAAAGAAATAAAAAAAATATAAACTATTAAATGGAAATAAAAAAAAATCAATTAAAGAAAAACGTGAAATGTCACATTTGACGTTTTAACCTAAAAATACCAATTTAACAGTTAAAATGATAAATTTTAAATTTGAAATGTCACATTTGACGTTTTAACCTAAAAATACCAATTTTACAGTTAAAATGACAGATTTTACATTTTAAATGTCACATTTGACGTTTGAAATGTCAAAAAGACAAGTTTCTGTCATTTTTTCATGATTTTTGACAGTTTAAATTTTAAATGAAAAATTTGGAAATCTTAAAAAATTTACAAATTTTGTAAATTTTTCATATTTTAACATTTAAAAATAATAAAAAAAACAAATAAAAATTAGTAAAAGAAAATAAAAAAATTAAAACTGTTGACATTTCAAATGTCAATAATTAGGTTAAAGAGAAAACATGATAATTTTGTAATTTTTTCATTATTGATTTTGACAGTTTAAATATCAAATAGAAAATTTGAAAATGTCCAAAAACGTACAAATTTTGTAAATATTTCATATTTTGACATTTAAAAAAATTTAAAACCATTAAAAGAAAATAAAAAAATCAATAAAAGAAAAAAATGACGTTTCAAATGTCAATAATCAGGTTCAAGAAAGAACAAAACAATTTTGACGTTTTAAGTTTCTGTCATTCTTTCATGATTTTTTGACAGTTTAAATGTTAAATGATAAATTTGAAAATATCAACATGACATTTAAAAAAAAACCATTAAACAAAATAAAAAAAATCAATAAAAGAAAAACTTACCTCTCTCAGTCTGGGTACGTTGTAGGGATCTGGCAGGCAGTAGCCGGCCAGGGTGTTCTCCAGGATCATCCTGTAGTTGTTGTGGATGTGGTTTAATTTTTGCGAGACCACCGGTTGGGACACGTCCAACTCGGGGAAGGGCCCCTTGTACAACTGCGCCTTGGTCACCAAACTCGGATCGTCCAATTCCAAGGTCGCTATTATGCAACCCGCGTCCAAAACGGCACCCGGTCTCTTGGTGTAGAAAACAGAACCGTTTTCGCTTGACGTCAGCGTCATCACCATTTTCATTACCTAAACAATTCAATATTAATGTTGATTTTTTAAGATCCTTTGGTCAGGAAAACAAGCTAATAGAGAACTAAATTCTCTTTTATTTGACACCAACATGACCTAATTTGCTCAAAAAACAAACAAAATTACGCAAAAAACACTTTTACCATAACCTACTACTTGATAAATCTAACTTTTTAATTTTAAGCCTTACTTACAAGCGAAAATTAACAAATTATATATCAAATTTATGCAAAAAATAGGAAAAAAATTAAAAACATCAAAAATAAAATTTATTTTGAAACTTTTCATAAACCAATAGAAAACTAAATTCTCTTTTATTTGACACCCAACATGACCTACTTTGCTCGAAAAACAAACAAGATATACGCAAGAAATACTTTTAGCATAACCTACTTGATATTTGTTTATTTAATTTTAAGCCTTACTTTCAAGCGAAAATTAACAAATTATACATCAAATTTATGCAAATTTATAATTTTTTAAGAAAAAATACGAAAACAATTAAAATCATGAAAAATAGAAATTGTTTTGAAACTTTTCATAAACCAATAGAAAACTAAATTCCCTTTTATTTGACACCCAACATGACCTACTTTGCTCAAAAAACAAACAAAATATACGCAAACAACACTTTTACCATAACCTACTTGATAAATCCAACTTTTTAATTTCAAGCCTTACGTACAAGCGAAAATTAACAAATTATACATCAAATTTATGCAAATTTATAATTTTTAAGAAAAAAATACGAAAACAATTAAAATCATGAAAAATAGAAATTCATAAACCAATAGAAAACTAAATTTCCTTTTATTTGACACCCAACATGACCTACTTTGCTCAAAAAACAAACAAAATATACGCAAAAAACACTTTTACCATAACCTACTTGATAAATCTAACTTTTTAATTTCAAGCCTTACTTACAAGCGAAAATTAACAAATTATACATCAAATTTATGCAAATTTATAATTTTTTAAGAAAAAAATTAAAATCATGAAAAATTAAATTTATTTTTAAACTTTTCATAAACCAATAGAAAACTAAATTCTCTTTTATTTGACACCCAACATGACCTAATTTGCTCAAAAAACAAACAAAATATACGCAAAAAACACTTTTCCCATAACCTACTTGATAAATCTTACTTCTTTAATTTCAACCCTTACTTACAAGCGAAAATTAACAAATTGTACATCAAATTGTTGTAAATTTATAATTTTTTAAGAAAAAATACGAAACAAATTAAAATAATGAAAAATAAAAATTGTTTTGAAACTTTTCATAAACCAATAGAAAACTAAATTCTGTTTTATTTGACACCCAACATGACCTACTTTGCTCAAAAAACAAACAAAATAAACGCAAGAAATACTTTTCCCATAACCTACTTGATAAATCTTACTTCTTTAATTTAAAGCCTTACTTACTTACTACAAGCGAAAATTAATAAATTATACATCAAATTGTTGCAAATTTATAATTTTTTAAGAATAACAAAACACTTACCTCAATTTCTGCGTAGGCCTGTCCTTTATTGACGTGACCACCGTCCTCGATGAGGAAATTCAACAATTTGCCGGCAGATGGCGATCTAAGTATGGTGGGGTCGTTTTCCTTCTCGAATATGCACGTCAGGTTGCCTATAACAATCCTGTACCTGTCCACTTCCTCTTTCATGTAGGTGGTGAACGAACTGCCATCGACGCTCAACAAAATACCTCCGTCGCTGAGGCGATGGACTTCGATCTCCTTGAAGGAGCCGTTCATCTGGAGGAAGTAAGTGTTGGCCCCGCTCTTGGCCGCCTGAACTTTGTACTTTTTCGCGTCGTTGATCAACTCCACGTCCACCACGTTGGTTAGGGTGTTGGAGCCCTGGATTTGGCCCCTTTCCAGCGAGGATTGGAACTCCTGGAAGGCCTGCGAGATCCGCTTGTCGGCGATGTGTAACGCCCCGCAGATGACGCCCAACATTATGTCGGGTTTTTCCGATTGCACCCGTTCTTGGATCAGAATGTCCAACCAGGCGGTGTCGATGGTGTTCTCCTGGAAACTCTTCGTTTCCAGGAGCGTTATCAGGTACTCCACGGTGGTTCTGAAGTCGCCTCTGATGGACAACTCTTTCAAGGCCACCACCAGGTTTTCCCTGGCCTGCTCCCTGTTCTCCCCCCAGGAGAAGCAGTGCCCGAACTGCGAGTCGGCGAACTCGTGCAAACCGCCGCTGGCCGCCACGGAGAAATAACCCCAAACGTTCTTCGAAGATCTAAAGTTTAACTCTTGCACCGTTCCCGAGGAGGGTTTGAAACCTTCGTCGGGGTTTTCGGAGGTGATGCGCGCCGCTATCACGTGACCCCACGGCTGCGGTTTGTGGCGCGGTTGGTCGAAATCGATCTCGGTTTGACCCCACGGGGATTCCCCGTACAACAGACGGATGTCTTTGATGTAGTGCAACGGTAGACCCATAGCGATCTAAAAACATCATTTTATGCAACCCAAACAACTCAAAAATTTTTGCATCAAAATTGTCAAATATATTCTTCTTTTATTAGACCAAACATTTAATAAAAAAACGTAAGATATATTTTATAAAAGTAGAGATAATTTTAATAATTGACAGGTAAATCTTTTTTGTCCCAACAACACCTTTCAATTATTAAAATTATCTGTACTTTTATAAAATATTTTTAACAATTTTGATGTCAAAATATTATATTATAAATTATCTACAATTTTTTTTTATAACAGTTTTGTAATTCGTGCGTTTCGCGCCCTTGAAATGGCCGAATTGAAAAATGAAACATTAAAAACTACGAAATTTACTAAAAAATTTGTAAAATTCACAAAAAAATAAATGGTGTGTTAAGTTTTGTAAAAACGAACATAACCAAATCATTTGACAAAACTTTTGACAGTTATATTAAAGGTTAGCTTACCTGAAGCTGAGCAGCTGGCAAATTGACGTCAGAAACCATTTCCGTGCACGGATGCTCGACCTGCAGACGAGGATTCAACTCCAAGAAATAATAATTTCCGCTCGTATCGTAGAGATATTCGACAGTTCCCGCCGAAATGTAACCCACCATTTTTGCCAACCTAACAGCAGCCTAAAACAAAAAACACGTTATTAAAAAAATTATATTTGTAAGAATAACAAAAAAATCAAATACTTCCACATAACAATTAATATTTCATAGGTAATTGGAAAAACATAGAGGTAGGATGTAGATTATAAATTAAAATGTATGCATTTATATTAAATAGTTTAGTATTTCGTACCTAAATGAAAATTTTTACCTATACAGTTTAGTATTTTTTAACTAAACGCCTCCTATCAGGAGCCTCTTCTTCATCACTAAAACTATCGTCATAGTTGATAATTTTAAAAAACACTGCTGGATTCATTTTAAAAACATACACAAAACACGCAAACAATACGAACAAACAGTGGGCGGTGATTTCAGCGGTGCCAATATAGTAAAAATAAAATGTTGCATTTTAATTAACAAATTACTACTTTATAACAAATAAAAGTATCATTAAACAACAAAAACTACATAAAAAGTAAATAAGTATCATCAGAAATTGTTAATTTGTTGTTATAATGGCAAAATTATTTTTAGAAACTGTCATACTTTTGTTTTTCTTAAGTTGGCAGTATTATTATTTTAATTAACAAATTAACACTTTATAACAAATAAAATTATCATTAAACACTTAAAACAACATAAAAAGTAAATAAGTATCAATATAAATTGTTAATTTCTTGTAATAAGGGCAAAATTATGGTTTAATCATATTTCTTGTGTTTCTTAAGTTGGCAGTACTAAATTTGAAATGACAATTTTAAAAATTCCTAAAAAGATGTAGGTATTTTGAAATAATCTATGGAAAATAACACTGTTATTTTTCATATATGGAAGAATCTATAGATTCTTTCAATAAACATCTTGAAGCAGAATTATTATCATGCGCCCAGAGGTAGGCAACCAGTTGTGCCAATAAGTAATCGCGGTTGCCTAACTGGCTTTTTTTAACTTTTGCCGCGATTTCGCGACTGTTTTGCGCACCCCATATTTCCTGTTTTTTTTTGGTCAAGTTCGACATAGCCACGAGGTGTGAGACTTTTGAACACTGTTTAAACCAGTAATATTTTTAATATTGCATTTGGGTAATAAATAGACGTGACTGCTCATATTTTTTAGCTAAGTCTTTATTTTAATATAAAACTTATTTGGATGTATAGGGTGATTGCAGAAAACGTGTATAACTTGTATAATATTTTTGAGTGTGTTATCAAAGGCCATACCATTAATAAACGCATCATCTGGTTATATCTGCCTTTTTACCAACGTACTCTTACCCGCCTTCTTGGAGACGGTTACGCTACAATCTATAGAAAATAACAGTTATTTTCCACAAATTTTTCATGGATTATTTCAAAAAATTTGTTTCTAAATTCGAGAAACAAAATAGGATCTCGTTGATAGCTTAAATTTTTTTTATGGAAATCTCACGAACGAGATTCTATGAAAACTTATTCAAATGAAGTTACTGCCGTAATACCAGAAATACATTTTAATTTAATATTGTCAACAAAAACACTTGAATAATGTCAAAAACACATTTTAGAGTGCTACATAGTTGTCTTTAACAGGTCAAAATCGAATGTCAAAAAAACTTTGTTACCATGATGCGTCAGCTGTTTACATATTTCTTGTGGTAGATAAACAAAATATTGTGTGCAACTTTAAAATAAATATCTCTTTCTCCAACTAGTAAGAAGAAATAGAAAACAAAGAAAAATGTAAAACTAGAATTTTTTTGAAAACATATAATTTAGATACTAGTTTTTATAAAATTATGAGCAAAAATAATTAAATAATGGCAGTTTAAAAAAATTTTACATGCAAAATAATTTTTTGAAATAAAAAAATCATGGGTATAGTTTTTAGAGTTTCACTTAAAAAATTATGAGGATTTTGGTGAAATTTTTGAAAATTTATAATTTAGATACTAATTCCTATAAAATAATGAAAATTTTGTTTCATTATGACCTAAAATAATTAAGTCATCAGAGTTTGTAAAAAAATTACCAGTAATACCAGAAAATGTTTTAAAAGCATTAAATATAATTTAATATTGCCAAAAACAATTGAATAATGTCAAAAACAACTCAAGATGTCAAAATACCGTAGAGCCTTTATGGAAAATTGTCTTAAACCTGTCAAAATGGAATGTAAAAATAGTAGTAAAAAGAAAAAAAGTAAAAAAACTCACTTTTTCCATTTCCTCGAAGACATCGGGCTCGGCGATGACGGCCGGCGCCTCCTCGATGATTTTCTGATGACGCCTCTGGATGGAGCAGTCCCTGCCGAAGAGCGAGATGGCGTTGCCGTAGTTGTCGGCGATCAGCTGCACCTCCAAGTGCCGCGCGCACTTGGCCAGCTTCATCACGAAAATCGGCGAACCGGGAATTTCCGTCTGCACCTGTCTGAACGCGGCGGGAAATTCGTCGGCGTTTTCCACCTTGCGGATGCCTTTTCCGCCCCCTCCCTCTGAAGCTTTGATCATCACGGGAAAGCCGATTTTCTGCGCTGCTGTTAGGCCTTGCTCGGGCGACGTCACGCAACCTTTCGCGAACAATTCCGACGAAATTTTTATCTTCTTGCCCGAATATTGAGCTTTCAATTCTACAAGATTTAAAAAAATGCGATAACTCTTTATGCATTGAAGCTAGGTCAAAACAATGTTATATATTTTTGTAGTTCGTGAAATTCTCTACAATTTTAATATTTGCAAGATTTTTGCGTCTCTAACCGTTTCCGAGAAATCGATGTTTTAATAAAGGTCGTTTGAGAATTGACATTGAAACAAAAAATAGGGTGTATTTTCGTTAATTTTTGACACATTTAGAAAAGTAATACGTCAAATTGCAGATAAATAAATAACCTTTAAGGTGACATTAGGTAACAAAATGTAACCTTAAAATTATTGAAGATACAGCTTGTTAAAGTCGAGTTATACTGGTTTTTATTTAGCCATTTAACCTATCGGTTGGTTTATCTTTAATATCTTTTAAAATATTCATACTACATAAAAGTTGTAATATAAAATGAAATAGTTTTAAAAATTCTCTACAATTTTAATATTTGCAAGATTTTTGTATCTCTAACCGTTTTCGAAATATCGATGTTTTAAGAAAAGTTGTTTCAGAAATGACATTAAAACAAAAAATAGGGTGTATTTTCGTTAACTTTTGACAGATTTACAAAAGTAATACGTCAAATTGCAGATAAATAAATAACCTTTAAGGTGACAGTAGGTACCATAATGTTACCTTAAAATTATTGAAGATACAGCTTGTTAAGTCGACTTATACTGGTTTTTGTTTAGCTATTTAACCTATCAGTTGGTTTATCTTTAATATTTTTTAAAATATGCATACCACATAAAAGTTGTTATATAAAATTAAATAGATCTAAAAATTATCTCCATTTTTAATATTTGCAAGATTTTTGTATCTCTAACCGTTTCCGAGATATCGATGTTTTAATAAAGATCGTTTCAGCATTGACATTGAAACAAAAAATAGGGTGTATTTTCGTTAATTTTTGACAGATTTATAAAAGTAATACGTCAAATTGCAGATAAATAAATAACCTTTAAGGTGACATTAGGTAACATAATGTAACCTTAAAATTATTAAAGATACAGGTTGTTAAAGTCGAGTTATACTGGTTTTTATTTAGCTATTTAATCTATCAGTTGGTTTATCTTTAATATTTTTTAAAATATGCATACCACATAAAAGTTGTAATATAAAATTAAATAGATCTAAAAATTATCTACATTTTTAATATTTGCAAGATTTTTGCATCTCTAACCGTTTCCGAGATATCGATGTTTCAATAAAGGTCGTTTCAGAATTGACATTAAAACAAAAAATAGGGTGTATTTTCGTTAATTTTTGACAGATTTATAAAAGTAATACGTCAAATTGCAGATAAATAAATAACCTTGAAGGTGATATTAGATAATACATTGTAAACTTTAAATTAAAGAAGATACAGGGTGTTATATAGAAAAGTTGCACAAACCTGAACCGGACCATGGTAGAGAGATAGATAATACATTGTAAACTTTAAATTAAAGAAGATACAGGGTGTTATATAGAAAAGTTGCACAAACCTGAACCGGACCATGGTAGAGTTGGCACTTCAGCTGTTTGAGCGACAATGGACGATGCGATTTTGTCTCCCAGAGCCCACATGGCTTTTTCGGTGGGGCCCACGAAAACTATCCCGTTTTTGTGCAACAGCTCCGGTAATTTTGGATTTTCGGAAGCGTGGCCCCAACCCGCCCATACAGCCTGTAAAAAAAGTGTGTTTACAACGCCATTTTTGACATTGTAAAAGGCTTTTTTTAATACCTGAACTTGCAGCCTGACCGCGATCTCGACGATCAGCTCGACGTTGGCGTAATTGTTGTTGTTAGTGCCTCCGGGCACCGGAACGTAGTGATCGGCCATCTTGATGTACTCGGCGTTGGCTTTCAAATCTTCCGGGGTAACCATGACGACGAAACGTATGGCGCGCTCGTTTTTGAACATCTCGTACGACCACCTGCGGATGGAACGCATGCATTTCACCGCCGCGATGCCGTTGTTGGCGATCAAAACCTTAAAAAAAAATTGCATTTTTGGTTTTAATTTTAAAAACCGTTTCTATTGATGCATAGCTTGCTTATTTTACTATAAAAATAACCCTAATATTAACAATACTAAAATGCATCACGGTTGCCATGAAAAAAGGTTTTTTCTTTACAAGTCCGGTGTTTTCCATCATAAATGTATGTTGTTACCCATCAAATTAAAGGAATTTTAATTTTGCATCCAATGGTATACACTTCAGAGTTGTGCTGTTATTTAGAAACTCAACGAATCGCATTTTATAAAACAATTAGGTAAATTTTAACGTATTTTTAGTAAAAAAAAATTACACACAATTCGGTTTTTAAATTGATAAATTATCATAATTTTTAAATTACTTACGACACATTATATTTAACCTTGTTTTGGTGTTGTTTATATTCTTTTTCTACGGTTTAAAAAGCTTTAAACCGCTTTGTGGCCGTGAATTCAGTGGTGCCAATATAGTATAAATAAAACGTTGTATTTTAATTATTAAATTACTACTTTATAACAAATAAAAATATCATTAAACACTAAAAACAACATAAAAAGTAAATAATTAACTTCAAAAATTATAATTTATCGTTAAAATTGCAAAATTATGGTTTAAAACTGTCATATTTTTGTGTTTCTTAAGTTGGTAGTATTATTATTTTAATTAACAAATTGCTTCTTTATAACAAATAAAATTATCATTAAACACTAAAAACAACATAAAAAGTAAATAATTAACTTAAAAAATTATAATTTGTTGTTAAAATTGCAAAATTATGGTTTAAAACTTTCATATTTTTGTGTTTCTTAAGTTGGCAGTATTTAAAACTGTCATATTTTTTTGTTTCTCATGTTGGCCGTATAACTATTTTAATTAACTACTTTATAACAAATAAAATTATCATTAAACACTAAAAACAACATAGAAAGTAAAAAAGTAAAACCAAAAATTGTTAATTTGTTGTTGTAATGGCAAAAATATGATTTAAAACTTTCAATTTTTGTGTTTGTCAAGTTGGCAGTTTAATTATTTAAATTAACAAATTACCACTTTATAACAAATAAAATTATCATAAAACACTAAAAACAACATAAAAAGTAAATAAGTAACATCAAAAATTGTTAATTTGTTGTTATAATGGCAAAATTGTGATTTAAAACTTTCAATGTTTGTGTTTGTCAAGTTGGCAGTTTAATTATTTAAATAAACAAATTACTACTTTACAACAAATAAAATTATTATTAAACACTAAAAACAACATAAAAAGTAAATAAGTAACATCAAAAATTGTTAATTTGTTGTTATAATGGCAAAATTGTGATTTAAAACTTTCAATTTTTGTGTTTGTCAAGTTGGCAGTTTAATTATTTTAATAAACAAATTACAACTTTATAACAAATAAAATTATTATTAAACACTAAAAACAACATAAAAAGAAAAAAAAGTAACATCAAAGATTATTAATTTGTTGTTATAATGGCAAAAATATGATTTAAAACTTTCAATTTTTGTGTTTGTCAAGTTGGCAGTTTAATTATTTAAATTAACAAATTACCACTTTATAACAAAGAAAATTATTATTAAACACTAAAAACAACATAAAAAGTAAAAAAGTTACATCAAAAATTAATAATTTGTTGTTATAATGGCAAAAATAGGTCTTATGCCTGCAAGAAAGTGACATTTGAACTACCCGTTATCTGGGTTGCCTAACATACAAAGTTATAAATTTCGTTTTTTCTTCATATTAAAATATAAAACCAAAATTTGTTGATCATGTTATGTTAAGGAGTTGCTATAAATTGAGATTTTACTGTAAATCAATTAGGGATCCGCTAAACAAGTAAAAACTATTAAATATTTAAATTAACAAATTACCACTTTATAACAAATAAAATTATTATTAAACACTAAAAACAACATAAAAAGTAAATAAGTAACATCAAAAATTGTTAATTTGTTGATATAATGGCAAAATTATGTTTTAAAACTTTCAATGTTTGTGTTTGTCAAGTTGGCAGTTTAATTATTTAAATTATCAAATTACCACTTTATAACAAATAAAATTATTATTAAACACTAAAAACAACATAAAAAGTAATAAAGTAACATAAAAAATTGTTAATTTGTTGTTATAATTGCAAAGTTATGGTTTCAAACTGTCAAATTTTTTGTTTCTTAAGTTGGCAGTACGAAATTTCAAATGACAATTTTTAAAAGAATCTATGGAAATTAACACAATTCTTTCAAACAATATCTATGGAAAAACTGATACAATACAATTCACACGATTTGGTAAACGCATTTTTTCCATAAAATTCGGTTTTTTAATTGATTGATTATCATAATTACAACACATTATCTTTAACCTTGTTTAGTATGCTACCTTAACATTAGTACACTTTGTATACTACACCATTGACGTTAGCTTATCATGCGTAGAATTAAATTAACGATAATTTATTACTTTACAAATTAATGTTTGATTTAATCAAATATGTTTATTAATAAAAAAGTTATCAATGTTAAAAAAAATTAACATACCTTATTGATGACTCTTGTCCCATTGAACCTTTTGACAAACTCTTCCGGCGTGGCGACCGTAAAATCTTTTTCCTGCAGCCTGTTTTGAATCATAACGGTACCCTGGGACATGGAAGGCCTAAAAATACCCTGAATTAAAGATACACCGCCTTAAAAATATTTTTAATACCTTGACAGAAAGCTTTTCGGGTTAAATAAATACATTTTGCTTTATAATCAACGACATTTCTCTTTAGAGAAACGTCAAATTGACAGGTATACATAACCTCATTCGTATATTTGACATTGGAAATCCTTGAACCTTTTGAATTCCCACAAAACAATTTGCATGTTAAATAAGTACACAATAGTTGACCTTGATTTTTTAATTTCAATTTTATGAAAATTGCTTTTTAACGACAATACTTTGGATGGTTAAATATTAATTATATTTATTGTATTTCATGTAAAACACGACATATGGTAAAAAATATAAACCACCCTGTATTTATAAAATAAATGAAGACAAGAAACATGTCTTACGTCAAAGTGGTACCAACAGAGAGCCTTGAGGCAGCCCTTGCCCACTCGTGCCCAACTTCTTTCTCCACATCCGGGGACTCTGTGATGATGATTTCCGTCGTGGGAGACGGCAATTCGTCCTCTCCATCTCCAATGACGAATCTCTTGCTGTTTCTCCTCGCTAGCAACTTTTTAGAATTCATTGTTGTTTCCAACGGATTAAAATCCCTCTCGAGACGTACGTCAATGATTTCAGAGCACTCCTCGTTGTTTTTCCATGCAAACAATCTCAGGAATTTGTCGAAAATAACGTTCATAACACGCGAAACATTGCTCTCTTACTTGCTTATTAATCGAACGAATAAACTGCATAGACGTCAATTTTGCGTAGTTCGATAGTTGAACAACAAATACAGGTATTACGAACTTTGAACTACCTCGTAAAATACTTTTCCCCCTGTTTTTAACAATAAGCGATTTAAATTTCGCGCGGAGAATGTTTACCACAAAGCCCTATCGGCACGATGTAATCGTGACCCACTGACACTTATTTTATAAACAAATTAACGGCGTTGTTTGTTTACCAATTAAAAACACATAAAATAAATCCAATAAAAACAACTAAACTAAAACACTGTAATTATGCGATTTTTAAGGCACGATTGTGTAAAGTTATTTGCGTTTAGCACAACCCTTATTTTATCAAAGGCTTCTTGATATTATCAAGTTGATAAACACCACTATTTCCGTAAACAAAATACAACATAACCTCAAATTTACTGATTTACGTGTTTACTGCCCTTTTGAAACTTTTTCGGTCACTTTCTGTGTTGATGTTCGTTCGTATGGAAAGTTCACACACTAATAAGGTTGTTTGTGTTGCTGAGGTTACTACACTTCTTTAACAGGTGGAATTTGCTGAACGACAGATCATGGGCGTAGTTAAGTGCGGGGAAAGGGGTTTAATTCGAAATAAATTAGCGATAATTTAAATACCATTTATAAATTTGTGTTTTGTGTTGTAATTTAAGCACGAAAAACAACTATAAAACGTTAATTACTATAAAAAACGGTTATTAAAGTGTAGTTTTCGTAAGCACGTTTATGGAATTTTTTAAAACACGTTTTCCTTGATTTTGTTTACATTTTTTCGGGTTTTGTTACCTACTCTTTATTGTGAAAAAAAAAACACAGGCGGACAAAATAAAATTTCCAGTTTGCCGCAGGGTTGCCAACAGTAAAATAATATGGTACTCACTTTAATCTTTTTCTTCTCTCCTGCAGAGCGATTTGTTGCGAGGGGGTGAGCCCGCTGAGCCCCCCCTGACCTTCGGAAGGGGCGTGCGGGGGGGCGTTCTCCATTTCCTCCCTGACTTCGGGAAAATCGTCGTAATTTTCCTCCTTATTATCCTCGTCCCCTAAAATCCATTTCTCCTCTTTTTGATCCCCCATCTCGATGCTATCTTGTTTCTTTTCTTGCTCTTTCGTTTCCTCCGAGCCGTGGCCGGAGTGTTCGGCAGTGTCTAAAATTAAGTTATTCTAATATAAATCGTATTTTTTATTGATATCTTCGTAATCTAAGCAAAAAAACACGTAAACTGAGTACCAACATCGCTATGTTTAGACAACAAACAAAAAAGTTGAACAAATGAAGATCGCAATATTTAAACGTGCAAAACTACCCTTAAACAAATGACAAACATAGGCTTGTGGGGTATCAAACAAACGGATTTTTTGCGTTCTACAAGATGCACAACAAAAAATATCATTTCGCATATATTCAGAATTATTTTATTCCATTAAACTTTGATAATTTTAACTTTTCAAATTATTTATGGTTTGATTTAATTTTTAATATAAATCGTATTTTTTAAGTTTTTAATGCGTTTTTATTGTGAACTAGTTGCCATGATTTTAGTACGCCACTGCTTTATGACAGCTGTCAGTTTGACAGTCGGTAATTAAATAATTCGAAAATTTACATTTAAAATATCAATATTAATGTACAATGTGTTTGTGTATATTCTGATTATGTAATTTGATTTGACTTTGAAACAGTTTAAGAGATTATACGTATAAATTAGCAAGGGTCAAGATTGTTGTTGATATACATATTATGTACCTAAATAAAAATTTACCGTTACATTTTGCGACATTTTCTGGATTAAATTTCTTTCCCTTAAACTTTCGTTTTTTGCCCATCTAGAAAAAAATAGTCTTATAAGTAAAATTGTAGTTTTTAATCCAAAAAATGTTAATTTTACAAGTGAATAAAAATTAAAATTTGTGATGATTTAAGTTTCAACTTTTTGACAAACTGTCAGAAAACTCATCTGTCAACTATGTTCAAATAGTTGATAGATGCCTTGTTTATTTTGTTTCCATGACAACCCTTATTATACAGCACAATAAGGACACAGCGTTACAGAGTTGTAACTGGTAAAGAGAAACTATTGTAATTCGTATAATGGGTGATATATTATAGCTTAGGTACTATATAAATACCTACTTATGTTAATAAATGATTCTTTCTTACCGAAACTGAAAAATTTGCAGGATCTTTTAAAGAACATTTTTTTGATTTTAACTACCTTTTACTAACTAGGTACCACATATTTAAAAATAGACTAAACACTGATTTAAAATAGATGTCATTAACGGTAATTAACAAACCAAGTAGGAAGTGGAATAAAAATAATTATTATTAATTGGATATGTAGGTAAGTACTAGCTATGTATAAGGAATTTTTATCGTACACAATTACATAACAACAATTTTTTCTTAGAAAAATACCTACTGAAAAAATACTCACTTTTAAAAACGGAAAATATCCTACGTAAATAAGCCACAACTACAATGAATAATAAAACCAATAAAACAATCAAAATTACAAGATGATCGGGGATATGTACCATGTACACATTGTCTTTTGCAAATTTGCACTGATTAAATTAAATAGTTTACGAAATTACATATTACAAGAATAAAATTGATGATAACCTTCAATACAAATGACCATAAGTCCTATTTGACTTTTCTCGAAGTGTTTATTTATTATTTACTCGAAATATTACTGATAACGCGAAAAAAACCGATCTACACCCGCTTAATTGATGATCCATCGAAAAAACCTTATCAAAAATAAAACTACGTCGGGATCAAAAAATGGCAACATTGCATGTGGGAATTTTTGGAAGACCGGCAATGCCGCAAAGATCAATGAATCCTCCAACATGTGGCATGTTCAAATCGCACCAATCGCGTTGCAGATCTAGAATGACGAGTGGAACTTGACCAATGAGATGCGATGGTGTTTTATGTTGTTTATACACAGGTTACTTACCTTTTTATATGGGTGATAATCACAGACAGACAGGTCTATAGTGATCTATGATTATGATGATAAAAATGATAAAAATTATAGGTACTTGCCTGGGTTTATATTAATAAATTGAAGCAAATTTAGTTCAGTTTAGATTAGTTTAAATTACATACACGTGCTTCAATAAATTGATTAAATTAATAATATGGCATGCAAAAATATGCGTACAGGAATATATTTCCTTATTTGATTTTAACGACTTAATTTATGGAAAATCCTAGAACATTTACTGACAAACATTATACCTAAAATATGCCTGACTGGCCATAAAAAACAAAACACGTATAAAAACTTGGCAAGACACTTCCAAAACATCAAAACAAAAATAGGAAAAACACCACAACAAAAAACATCTTTTTAACACAAACTCAATACATTTAAAGATGCCGAAGAGTGTCGAGGGGTTCCTTACCGAATATATTTCCAATTTTGCCGAATTCTTCGCACTTTTTAACAACGAACATAACCTCACTTTCGCCTCATCGCACTTGGACTATTGAAAAACTGCACCATCATTTTTGTGAACACGAAGAAAATTTGAAATTCTAATTCGCTCGATTCTTATTTACGAATTTTTATTACACCGGAGGTTAAAAGTCACCTATTATCAAAAGTTTTTACCGTTTTTAAATTCATTTTGTAAACACTGGGTAATGAGAACGACGCTGCTGCCATGTTTACTGTCGCACAATATTAAAATTACTAATCAATTAGTAACCATCATGCACATTTGCAATAACGTGGTAATTTTATGGATATAATCTCAATAATTATTAATAAATACGGCTGCTTTATTTAAATTTAAATATGTCAAGCTTCTATCGATTTTCATCTGACAACTCTGCAATCTCAATTTTGACAGTGGAGTGGATAAAATTGATCCATGATTGGCTGAAATAAATAATCAAGTATACCTATAGGTAGGTATCTAGAAATATTTAAAATTTTTATTTTTTAATTAACTTTGTAAATCAAAATGTTTTAATTTAGTTGGTAATTTTATTTTATAATCATTGTTTATTTTTTCTGGTATTTTTTATTTTAATTATGTTTAGTGCAAAATGATTTTTTTATACCAGAAGGGCTTTAAAACATGCAAATGACAGCATATTTTTTTCTCTAAATTGAAACATAAAATAAGCATTTTTTATAAAAATATATATTTATAAATAAAAAAATAATACATTTCTTAACATTCTAATATTCTATGGTAACACATTTAGTTTTCAAGTATTCATTTAATGCATCCTGGCCTAAAAACAAAAAAATATATGTATTAAAAAAATTTAAATAATCCATTTAATTAATTTTACCTAAATCTTTTCCAAAACCTGATTGTTTAAAACCGCCAAAAGGAGCAGCAACATCAGTTTTGTTATAAGTGTTTACAAAAACTGTTCCGGCCTCAATCTTTTCAGCAAACTTTAGGGCTTTGGATATGTCTTTGGTAAAAACTCCCGAAGCAAGACCATATTCGCTATTATTCGCTCTTTTTATCACTCCGTCAACATCTCTGCGAAAAAAATACGACAAATTAAAAAAAAAAGTTTGAACGTGTAGGGGTGACTAAAAGTAAAGTCCCCCACACACGTATTTTGACTTATAGTCTTCCATACACTACTAAAGCTCCCCATAGCTTACCCGTTGTTAAATTTGCTGATGATCATTATGGGACCGAAGGATTCTTCCTTGGCAATAAACATATTGTCAGTTACGTTGCTGAAAATCGTGGGTTCGAAGAAATATCCCGGCCTGTTTAACCTTTTGCCGCCGAATTCAAGTTTGGCGCCCTCTTTTTCGCCGATTTCCACGAATTCCAGCAGCTTTTTTAAATGAGCTAAATGATTTTGGGGGCCGTGTGCTGTGGAACGGTTCAACGGATCTCCCACGGAGATTTTTTTGGTTTCTTGTATAACTCGTCTTAAGAATTCGTCGTGTATTTCAGCTTCGACGAAAACTCGACCGGCTGCTATGCAATTTTCGCCTTTATTGAAGAAAACGCTTTGCATTCCCTACAAATTATTCAAATGGTGAGCATTTTTTTCTGAATGTCAAAAAAAAACAAATTTGTTTTTTTTTAATATTAATTATATATATTATTAATACTCACCAATCTCACAGCCTTCTCCAAATCGCAATCGGAAAAAATGACTAACGGCGATTTGCCACCCAATTCCAACGAAACCTTTTTTAAATTCGAATCTGCGCATGTTTTCATTATGACCTGTCCAATTTCAGTGCTTCCGGTGAAACCCAACTTCCGCACTAGCGGATGCGAGGCGATAGCGTTTCCCGTTACAGAACCTACAAGAATATTTTTTTGTTTGAACTTTTTGAGTGCTTTTTATATTTTATTATTAATATTAATATTGATATTTTATAATTTCGCATATCTTTCAAATGACTAATTTTAGAGATTAACTTATATGACATTTTTTGTATAGGGGTAAATTTCCTACAAAAAATCTAATTAACTTTTATCTCTAAAGTCAACCGTTTACAAGTTAAGAGCAAAAAACATCACACTAACCTAACCAAAAAGCATTAACATTGACATTTTATAATTTCGTATATCTCTCAAATTACTAATTTTAGAGATTAACTTATATGACATTTTTTGTAGATGAGTAAATTTCCTACAAAAAATCTAATCAAATTTTTTCTCTTAAGTCAACCGTTTACAAGTTAATAGCAAAAAAACATGACACTAACCAGTTCCAGGCACGACATTTATGACACCTGGAGGTATTCCAGCTTTCACCGACAATTCAGCGAACTTGAGTGCCGTCAGAGGGCACACCTGCGCCGGTTTGATCACTACAGTGTTGCCAGCTGCCAGACAGGCGGCCATTTTCCAAGACAACATCATCAGCGGGTAGTTCCAAGGCGTGACAAGTCCACAAACACTAAAAAAACATCATTAACGTTCGCATATTCAAATTAAATTGTAGGTGGGTACCCTATGGGTTCTTTCTTGGTGAAACTTAGGTTGCGGTTGGGTCTGGCATGGTTCACGGGTATCGTGGAACCGTGTATTTTATCGGCCCAGCCGGCAAAGTAGCGCCAAGTTTCAATACTCATACCCACGTGGGTTTTAAGGGCCAAAGTATACACTGCGCCCGAATCTATGGACTCTATGGTTGCCAGTTCTTCTTTATGTTGCTGCATCAAATCTGCCAGTCTAAAAAAAGTTCAAATAAAATATTTTTTTCAATTTTGGCTGGCTATTTACTTGTATAGAAGTTGCCCCCTTTCTCTAGGACTTATTTTACTCCATTCTCCCGAATCGAAAGCTTTTTTGGCCGCTTTGACAGCTTTATCGACGTCATTTACCGATCCGCACTGCACCTAAACAAAAAAACACAAAATAGGGCCAAAATTACGAAAATAACGCCGAAAATACCTCACAGATGGCCTCCTCAGTGCCGGGGTTGATGCTCGTCGTGGTTTTGCAATTTTCGCTGTCGACGAATTTGCCGTTTATAAACAATTGACAGGGAAATTTTATGTTCATTTTGTTGATGTTCATTTCTACGGCCCTGTACTCGACTTCGATGTCGCCTGAGCCACCCCTGCTTTTTTGGACAACGTTCAAACAAAAGTCGCTAAAGTTGGGGTTCATGAAAACATCATCGTTTTCAAGTTCCACTTTGACGAGGTCTTTCACCTCTTCCACCAGTCTGCAATGTGTGTTAAATTTATTTTATTAATTTAAAAAAAATAATTAAATTTTTTTGTTACCTCACAACATCCATTGAGCCAGCTCCACACTCGAAAAAGTCCGTGTTTTCTTCTATATCGGTGCTCAAAATGTTCTCCCAAATTTCTCTGACATTCTCAACCAGTAATTTTTCTTCCTGCGTGTACTCTATGGTTACAGTTTTTTGGACTTGGTCCAAGGTCGCGGCATTCTTCATGCGACCTCCAATTTTGACTTTCTTAACGTTAACCATAACTCCATCAGCCCCTGTCAAAATTAAACCTTCATCGTGCAAAATACCATCGTCGGTGCCTTTAATTTGTATTCTCTGACCATCGTCCGGAACTTCATTGATCCAAATCGAAGAACCGAAAAGTAAAACCTCCTGAAAATCGACTTCCCCAGGTAACTTAACCATACACGAAGCCCCTGGCACGGAATCCATGCCTCTTATAAAGTTGTGCAAATCCTGACCCGATTTACTCCAATCGATCTGAAATTGACATTTTTTAATTCTAGGCAAAAAATCATGAAAAACGAGTAGTTTGTTATTAAATTGGTAGATTATTAAAAACCCGTTGAATTGACGTATCGCACTTTAAGTTTGCGCTAATATTAACGAAATAAGAGTGAATCTAGTGTGCGTTGAAATTTGTGTTTTTTGCAACTCTTTTATCTTAGGATGTAACCCTATCATGTCGCATATTAAATTTCAGGATTTTTCATTCTCTATTCGATGAAATTATTGCTTTTATTGCACTTGTCATATTTTAGCTGGTACGCACCTTTTGAAGTTTGGGTTTGTTTAGCATGGGGTCGTAGGTGGCGCCTTTTTAGATTTAGACAGTTTGCGCAAAAAATCATTAAAAAAGAGTGGTCGGAAGATATACCCAGGGCCGTGCGGTAGATTTTTTCAGTATGATGCAAGTTATTGAAATGCCGCCCCTTAAATGTTTTCTCTTTAAATTAATTAAAGATTCCCAAGAAAACTGCACAAAATGAAAATATTTTTAATTTGAAAAAAAAACATAAATATAACAGAACTTTAATATTATTTTATTCTTCTAACTTTTATTTTAGCAAATTCGTTAATTAAAGATGTGTAATCTAGAGTGGCAGCTAATGTAGATTCAATAGATAATAATGATAGATGTCTTTGTTTGGCTTATTGAATTTCCTAAATAGTTTTTTATCAGTTTTAATTTTGAAAAACTTATTTCCTCACTAGCAGATACAGAGTGTTAATAAAATTCGCAAAACTATAAAAGCGTTCGGATACAAAGTAATTAAGTTGTTTTGGCACAAGTAATTTAAACCGTCTAAAGATTTCATAGAATATTTCAGCATCCGGGATACATTACGTATACGTAATGTATAACAACTATAGTTCTTCTCTTTGCATTTATACACAGTAAAAAAATATTTGTTAATTTTAACCAAATAATAACCAGATTTTATGTTAATCCAGGTCCACATAACTTTTTGTTAAGTTTACAACCAACTGTATTTTGTAGATTTAATAACAAAATTCCATGTCAACTTCAACCATAATTCTTGTATTTTTTACAAACTCTTATGAAGACCCAGTATCAAAAGTATTTTTTGTAAATTGGGAACTTTAAAAAACAGAATTTGTTACAAGAAATGTTGCTTTATTAAACAATTTTCTAAATAAAACATAATTAACACATTAACACTATATTGCCTAATTTTAATTTGAAAACCAATAATGACATTATAAACACTCCTGTCACCGTTAAATATTATAAACAACCGTTGAAGCTGACACAACTTGTTGATAAGTGTGTTGTGCTTGGAAATGTTTTGATTGGCTGCCTGAAATCACGTGTACTTTTTCAACGGAATAATTTGTTAAACATTAACAAAATAATCTGTAACCTTTAAAATTAACAAAATCCTTACAAAATTGAATTTTACCTTTACAAAACTTTCGGCAAAATATATTTCTTTGTTAAAATAATTACAAACCCAGGTTGTATATAATACCAAAGAATTACTTCACATAAACTTGCACTTGTTATTTGATATATGCGGGGGAGGCGCCTTTTTGCGAGTCAATCTTACTAAATGTCTACGTTAATACCGGAATTATACAGAGTAATCTAAAAAAGTGTCGCATAAAGATTTTTAAGTATTGAAAAATCTAAATTGTACCTATATATTTTTTTTTATGTTGCTGCTAATGCCGCCCCTTTACGGTGCCGCCTGATGCGGCCGCATCCTCGCATCATATCACGGCACGGCCCTGGATATACCTCACTCAAAAAAGAATGCCATGATGTTTTTGTTTCTTATTTTATTTTTCAGGTTTGTTATTAAATTGGTAGATTATTAAAAACCCGTTGAATTGACGTACCTATCGCACTTTAAGTTTGCTTGATTACTAACGGTAATATTAACGAAATAAAAGTGAATCTAGTGTGCGTTGAAATTTGTGTTTTTTCGATGTAACTCTTTTATCTTTGGATGTAACCCTATCATGTCGCATATCAAATTTCAGGATTTTTCATTCTCTATCCGATGAAATTATTGCTTTTATTGCACGAGTCATATTTGAGCTGGTACGCACCTTTTGAAGTTCTGGTTTGTTGAGCATGGGGTCGTAGGTGGCGCCTTTTTCTGTTTGGACGGTTTGCGGGGCGGTTCCATCGGCAACCATGTCCACGGCACGTGCGATGGACGTAACGCCGATGGGGTACAAAAAACGCTTGTAGATCGTGTCAACGGTGTCGTTTTCAAGCACGTCGCATTTTTCTTGGAGCAAAATCGGACCTACAAAATTGTAGTAGTAAAATATGTTTTTATAAAAGAAAATGGTACCTACCTGTATCTAAGCCATCGTCTGCCCAGAATATACTAAGTCCAGCTTGTTTATCGCCGCATATTAACGTCCTGAAATTAATAGAAATGTTTTAAAAACGCCCTGTATATTTTTTACCGTCGTTACCGACCAATTAATTGAGCTGGCCCCCCTGTGCCTCGGTAGAATAGAGGGATGGTAGCAAATACTCTTGAACCTGGGATAATTTATTACTTCCATCGGTATAAATTGCGAACAATATGGTAAAACATTTAAGTCGGCGTTGACGCTTTTATATTGTTCCAAAATGTCTGGCAAAGCTTTTCCCTGTTTCCTCCATGCTTTGATTTTGAACAGAGGTATGTCGCTTTCCTTTGCTGCCTTGGCTGTAAGTAAAAAATTATTTTAATTTATTATCTGATATAAGTAATAATAAATAGAACAAAAGTCAAAAGATTATCTTTGTCACAATAATTATTATATAATCGTAAATAAAAATAACTTTTTTGACTAAACTAAATAAAAGTAATTAAATAATATACCTATAGTTATATTTTATATTGTAAAGAAAAAATAGGAAAAAAATTGTATTATGCATTTACGAAAAAAATTAAAATTCAAGTCTAAATACAATAAAAAAAATTATTTTGAAAATATATAAAGTCTATAGACTTCAATCAGGATTTATATACACATATATTTGGCAACCCTGCCAAATAGTGCAAGATGACTTACTGAAGAAGAAGATTGAAACATTTTCAAGTTCTGGGAATTTAATTTCTGAGCACCCTGTACATTTAATTCAAAGATTTTTTATGGAAATCAACAGGATTTTTTATGAAGAATACATTTTTTTGTAAAACGCAAGAGTTTTTCTAATAATAATAATAATAATAATAATAATAATAATAATAATAAAATAACTAATAATTTCAGTAAAATATTTTATACCTATATACATACATATATACATAAATCATCAAAAAATAAAATGCAGTTGCAATTGATTTTTAATTATTTTGTTGTATAACTTACCCAAAGGATCTTCTCTTTTACCCTTGTCCGCGATGGTAAAAACACCCACTATAATATGGCCATGTTGTTTCAACAAATTCATACAATCCACCGCAAAAGGAGACTGGCCAATTATGGCGATTTTTAATCGTTCTGATTGATTATTTAAGTTATTTTGCTAAAATAAAATACAAAATAGATTTTAGAGAAAGTCTTAAAAACAATATAAAAAGTGTGTATATTTACATTTGGTGGCATTGTATTTGCTTTGATACACGAAAACACAAAAAAATGTCAACAATTTTTTCCTAGTGTTGTGTTGGTTGTTACCGGTCAAAGGAACTTTAAGAAATGAAACCGATTTTATGTTTGGACTGGTTTAAATACTAGATACCATTCAACAGTTCAAATGTTATTTAATATTAGATATTATTCTGAGGAATTCAAAAATTAATTATCATGTTTGTATCTTTAAAACTTATATACGATTTTAATGGCCACTTTTTTGTACATAGTAAAATTAATTGAAAAAAGTTTGCAAAGAAAAACTAATTAAATAAATTAACTCATCATATCATGCATGCATGTAATAGGTATGTTATGTTATAAAATAATAATACTAATCAAAAACGGAAATAATTTAACATTTTTAATGAGAATATTGTTTTTGAAAAATAGGTAGGTAGGTATATGTTATGGGTAGTAGTAGTATGTCAAAATATTTTAAAATATGCATTTTTCTGATTCGAGATAGATTTCTCTTTCGTTTATTTATAAACACATCATATAAGGCTGTGGCATTTACCTAGTTAAATATTTAGTAATCATGCATTTTGTATATGGGTCATTCCAGGTGGTACCTACCTACCAACAATTTTGACGAACTTTTTCGTAAATTTTGTTTGAAGCAGAAACAATTGTTTAATTAACTTATATTCATAAGTAATACAAAAATTCATTTTTTGGTTAGGTTCAAGTTGAACCGTTCAACTGACATGACATTTTAGCTTATGGAGTTGTATAGACTTTATATTAATACTAGTATTTATATGAATTTTTTCTATATACATAGTTGTATAATATAAAAATTATTATACCCTTGAAAAAAAAACATTACATGGTGGAATGACCCATATGCTTAAGTAATTTATTCTGAATTGCACAATATCTGCTGGCGGCGTAGGAAAAAGAGACATTCTATTCGATATAATTGCTAGAAAACCAGTAATATCCAGTTTCTAGCCGTAATTTTATGACCCCGAAAGGGATTTTTATCTATTCCACAACTCAAACAGGTAGCAACACCTTATTTGCCGCATTAATGCTGTATACTATTATAATTATAATAGTATACCTGCGCTTGAAATGTAAACAAACACCTGTTCACTTCGGAAAAAAATTCTGTCCTTAAAGAAGTAGAAAAAAAGTCGAATACATAGAATACAGTATTCTGAATACTAAAATTAAAATCATGACTTTTGTACAGTTCTCATCATGACAATGCATTAAAAATTACGGTCCAATTAATTCATAAAACTGGTAGATACCAGAAATAATGCGGTTTTGTATAATTATCAAAGACCTTTTTGAACTTTCTTGTTATCTCAAACCACTACCTTATTTATTTCTAGTTTGAAGGCTTCAAATTAGAATAATAACACATAATGCAATGTAATAATTTGTTACAATACTGCAGTTTTAGGGTAAATTGTTTGCGCTTTTTTCACAATATTTTTAAAAAATTGGAGGAAATTTTGCACTACCATGGTATAGAGAAAAAACCGTTGTTAAATTTTGCCTCTTAAATCGATTTAATGTTATTTTTTGGGTAGAAAAATAATGAACCAATTTAGGTAGGTGGGTAATTTATTTCGTCTTACAAATAATATCACTTACATATAAAAATATACAAAAAAAATTTAATAATCATTTAAATTAAGACAAAGTTTTGACGTAATTTTCGAATTCCTCCAAATGATCGGGTTTTATGTATTTTTTTAAGCCGTTTAATAAGTAGGCTTCGGAGCGCGTTTTAAGGAAAATCTTGTCCATCTCTGATTTTAAATTTTCCAAATTTTTTTCGCTCCTGTACATTCCCATGGCTTGAACCAAAGTTTTGTACGACTCGGAGTCCAATTTTCTCTTAACCTGGAATAAAACATCGTTAGAATTATAATTATTTTATTATCTAGAAATAAACAACGTAATAAATTAAAAGTGTGATAATCACCAATGCTATGAATTCTTTTGTTTCGCTTTGCGAGTCCTGCTCGGCGATTGGCACGTTTTTCTTCAGGACGATTTTCTTTTTTTTCGCCGGGTTAATCAAGTCGGTCGCGTTTGCTCTCTTGTGTATGGTCACCAGACCGTCTTCAGGTTGTTGCTCGAATTGAAAATTTTTGCCCTCTTTTTTGTAACAGTTGCCGGTCTCGAACTCTGCCGGTTGGTTGTTTACGACTCGTGATTTTGGAGCCGGTAACTGTTCAAAAAAAAATTTTGTTCGAAAAAAAGTGGTCAAATGTTTAAAAAAATCAACAAAAAACGAAAAATTAAAAAATATATAAAAAAAAATTACTAAGAAAAATGTATGATTTTTGTATATTAATATTTTCAAATTTCAACCAAAATGTGAAAATTATTTTTTAAGTTTTCGCATTTGGTACAGTGCAGGACAAAGGTAATGTAAGTAATTACGTTGGCGCCGGCGTTTTTGAAAAACATCCTGAGATCCCTGACGATCTCCCCGAAATTGGCGGCCACCTTGATGTGGTCCCTGAGCCACATCGACAGGCTGCCTTTGATGCGGAAATTGTCGAATCGCTGGTCCAAAAGCAAGATGGCGCCGTAGTCGTGCCGATGTCGAATTACGCGACCGATCGCCTGGTTGACGGCTCGCGTAGCCTCCAACGAGTACCAATCGTCTCCTTTCAGAAACTAACACAAAAAGTTACATTTCTCTTGTACTTTTATTAAATGATTAAATCAATGTCAAAATGGCTAAATTAATGTCAAAATATGTCATAAAAATAATCATATATTATATCACGAGAACTATGAACTTAATCGGTTAAACTAGGCTGAGTAGTTTTTTGTTTGGTTTTTCTTGGAAAATGTTGAATGCAAAATAATTTAATAAAATTACGAGACCGCGTAGCAGTCGAGGGGTTTTATTTTTAGTTATTTTGCATGAAACTATTTTCCAAAAAGAAAAATCAAATAAAAAACTTACTGGGCATAGTTTGACAGATTAAATTTATAGGTTGAGTGATATACGTCTAGATTATTTCTCGAATTAAAGGAAACTATTTGACAATTCATAAAATCTGACGTATGGGTCAAAATTTATAAATATTTTTTTAAAGAAAATTCCATTAATTTAAGGTATGTAATAAGTAATAATTGATATTTCGTAAACTAGATAACTTATTTTTTATTGTTTTTTAAAAAATGTTTGTTAAAACTTGTAAATAACACCATAAAATCGTAAACAAAAATCCAATATAGAGGCTAAAATTTAATCGCTGTTAAATAGTTCTAGTGATTTAATCGCTTATTTAAACGAAATTTATTCGAAAATTCAAGGCTTTTGATTGGTTCATATTATAATGAGGGAAATAATCAAATTAAATAAACATATTTTGAAAGACAATTTAATTTGGAAAAACAAAAATTGCTTTGGATTTTATACTTCATTTTTTCTTTTTTGAAGCTTGAATTCTATCACAGAGCTGTTCCTTTTCATTAGTGCTTAGTTTTGCTGCAGTAAAGGCACTCTGCAGGTCCGATTTAATAATTGAGTTCTTTATAGTTTTAAAATTGTTAATTTTGTTACGATAGGAGTCAATTTGATCATTTAATTCGCCAATTTTGATCACACAACTATAGAGTAGGCAACCCAGATCACAAAATGATGTTTAGGTGTTTTTATCGTGACGAAATCATACGACATGTGGGGCAATAAATAAATATTAAAAAAACAAAAAAATGCCAATTTTATTGAACATTTTAAATGATTTAGGACGGAATGCAGAATTTTAGGACTTTTGGGACATTTATGTTAAAATAAAGTAACAGTTTGTTATTTCAACAATTTTAAGGAAGTTAAAGTGCTTATTAATTGTTTATTTTTAAGTTTAGGGTAGTTATGCAATAATAGATTTTTGCTACAAATTAAATTGTCTTTTATAATATTACAAATGTTATTTTTGTGAATATTATGGAAACTTTGCTAATTTAATTGACTTTGTAGCTCCAATAATAACAATGTTATTAGCAATGGTGAGCAGAAAAAAATATTAAAAAAAGTTCATAAAACAAAATTGCTTTATAGGTAATAAAATATTTAAATAAAAACGCAAACATTTCTGAAATGCTACTTTTTTATGTTTTTATTATAAAATGCCGGTTTTCTCTAGAACGGTTCAAGTTAGAGCTTTTGTCTAGGAATACCTTTATTGAGTAGAAAACATTGGAGGTTTAAAACCAATTTCCCCAGTACCATGAAAATTAGGAGCAAAAAAACCTCCGTCATTGGATATGGAAAACATTGAATAAGCGCTTAGAAATTACTTATTTTAAATGAAATTAGCCAAAGAATTACACCCTTCATTTTTCGGCACATCTTTTATCTATATAAAAACATTTTTGAAAAAATATAAAACATCGTATTATCTATATAATGTTGATGTTTTGAAGGTGGTCAAAAATATTAAAAACCTATTTTTTAAAGTCAATTTTATTTGACATTTATTGCGTGACATCTGTCAAACGTGAGGTTTAACTTCACTTTTTCCCAATCTTACACCTCCGAAACGGTTTTAACCTCACTTTTCCCCAATTTAACGCGGCAATTAAGGTGAAATAAAATTGCGTAACAACTCACCTCTTTGTCCTGCGCGTTGCACCGATCTAAATACCGCTTCTTGAGTATGATGCGCGGGTCTTTGAGGGGCGGATACGGCAACCCCGTGACGATGACGGCCCTGCCGTTGGCGTCGGCAAAGTCCAGGCCTTCCGAGACCTTGCCGCGGCACACGCCCATGAAGATCGCGCCCCTCGCCTGCGGGTCGTTTATTTTGGCGTAGAACTCCGCCATGGCGTGCGCGAACTGCTCCTTGTCCTTGGGCTCCACGTAGATCTTCTTCAGGTCGCATATCGACGCCCAGATGCCGTTCTCCTGCCAGAAGTCGCGGTACTTCTGCATGATGGGGTACGACGAGAAGAATATCAGCAGGCCGTCGGGCACGTGCCGCGTTATGTTCAAAATCGTGCACCCCAGGCTGTTGATGTACTTCGGGTTGTCCCGATTTTGGAAGTTGCCGTTTAAAATTACGCCGTCGGGACCTTTCGGGACTATTTTCACGCATATCTGGTCCCCTTTCACGATGTGCGGGTTTTCCAACTTCACGTCCACCTTCAACTCCAGCTCGGAAATCAGAGGTTTTAAGGGCGCCAACGTTCCGCTGGTCAGAATTACGCATCTTATGCCTTGATTCATCAACATGTTCATTCTGAAAATTACAGTTACTATGGCGTGCGGTTCTACTTTTTAACACCAGAAAATTTTAAAGTTAAAGAAGAATTTATTCATGGCTTTGTGAAAATAAACTATCTTTAAATGTAAACAAAACTAAAGGTAATTTATTTGGAAACAGTAACAAGATCTCACAAATTAACAGTTGACATAAATAATCAATAGATTCTGCAAAATCTTTTATATATTAAAAATAACTTAAGATTGTATAATTCCCATATAACAGAACATAATCACAATACAAAAAAACTATAATAAATTACCTAATAAAATAAAGGAACTGCCCCTTAATTCTTTTAAACAAAAAGTACCTAGTCTAAATTCTTAAAAATAATGTTTTTTACAACTCTAATGAGTTTTTTAATTTTAATTTTAATGTTTGAATTTTTTTTTTATTATTTTAAATTTAATTTTGAATTTTATCTTAAACATATTCAATACTTATCAGCAATATTTTTTTAAAGTGTTTTGTTAAAATTATTGTATGAATTAACTCCACTGTGTATTTGACAATGTAAACCTATTAGATAATAGCAGAAATAAAATTATTATTATTACTATAATACTCCAATTCACTTTGCAAGGGAAATAAAGTACCTATAGGTGTTTTGTTGGACGAAAACTTAAATTTTAAAAGCCACTCATTGTATAGAATGAAGGAAATCATACTTTTCAACTAGAATTGGTAAAAATATGAGCACATTTACAAAGCTTCAACTATACAAATCAATTATAGACTTTTGCTCAACAATATTGTTTAATTTACCGGCATATATGCCACCTATATATAGAATACAAAAATTTCAGAGTGGGCAAATAGATATATCCCAAAGAATAATGTACAATACATATTTATTTATAATTAAAGTTAAGAACTATTGTATTTGTATCTGCTGTGTTTTGTATTTATATTTTAAATTTAATATGAGCTCTGTTAATACTGTTGTTTGTTATCATTGCTGTATTTATGTTCTATTGTTTACTTTTATATATTTTATTATTTTTTGCATTTTTATATTTTTTTTTATAATTTCGTACACATTTATATTGTTATATTTTGTTCTTGTATATAGCAAATTAGCTAAATAAAGATATTATTAGTATAGTAAAAATTATTAATACTCTACAAGTCAATTTTTATTATGCAAGTAGCACAAAATGTCTAAACATAAAAAGGCCTGAAATTTAATTATTTTTATTGTTAACATAATTTTAATTCACTTTTATTTTACATTGACAAAAATATTGCATTTCTCTGCAAGGTATTAAAGTTTTGAACAATTTTTCTGCGAGAAATTAAAATTTTACACGCCCAAAAATATTTTCAATGGAAAATCATTTTTTTTTAATTTTTCATTTGACATATTTAAAATTATACCAATTTTTATTAAGATATTATAGAATTTTCAATTTAAATTTATTTTGTGGACGAATTTTTTTATGCTTTAAAATGTTCTGATTCGTTTTCATTATTTTTTAATTAAATCAAGTTTATCTTAAGCTATTTATAAATTTATTTTACTGAATTATTATTCTGTTTAATTGTTATTCTGTTATGGTAAACATAATTTTAATTTGGCGCTGCGGTACAGCGGCCAAAAATGACAAAACTGGGTAGAGGAGCATTTATGTGGTTCATATGAACTACTACATATTTTAAGACAGTGTTGCACAATGTATTGTAATGCAACGTATTTTCAATTTATTATGCTACTTTTTATATACTTTTTTAAACATGAGATTTTCTATGCTTTTTAGTTTAAAGACATCATTTTAATTGGTAGAATTAAAATTATTTAATGTACCTAATAATCTTAAAGTATGCATTTGTATAATGTACTAAGAACAAAAATTAAACAGAATAAAATTGTGTCAAAAGAATATTGAACACAAAAAGAATTTCAAGAGTAAAGTAAAATATACAAATTTATAACAACAGAAATAAAAATGCACCATTTTTTATTATTATTACGCTTTGTAAAATTTTATCGGCGCGAATTCTTTATTTACCCGTATCCAGGGCTGAAGCACCAATAGTTCAAAACCCGGCAGGCAGGTTTTGCAGAGGATTTCGACAGCCAATTGTCGCGCGCTTTTTTGAACGGCTGCTCCACCAAAACGTGCACTTTAAAGCACTTCTCCACCTTCTCCATCATTTCCTTGGAGGTGCCTTGAAAAGTGCACGTCAGCAGATCGGAAAACAACTCCAGGCCGACGCCGCGGCGCTGAAACGGCCCGTCGCCGCTCGACATCGCCAAAAAGTTGCATATTTTGTCGATCAGTTGCACCATTTCCAAGAAATTTCCATTGTTGATCTGAAATTCGCGTGGGAAATAAAAAAACTCGAAGTTTGAGCCCCTACAAGGCACACTTTACACAAAAAACAAAACAGTTATGCTTATTAACAATTGTTTTTTTCTAAAAAGTGTTTGCATTTTTAAATTATTCAAAAGTTGTCGCATTTTTTAAATTCTCTGTTTGAGGCAGACATCTTTATTTTAGCAAGATAATGAAATGGCATTAAAAAAAACATTTTTATGACGAATCATTTGGTGAAAACATCGTAAGTTTATCACCGTTAGTTTTCGAGATATGATTTTTTTAAATTAAAATATTGAGAAACGTCAAAATCTGACGTTTGCCAGGTACCTACGTTTTTACCTCTATAGAGTTATATATAACTCGGCCAATTTAAGGTCGAGAAAAAATTCCTTCACTAAATTTCTGTAAAATAACTTCCCTTAAAAGCCCAAATAGGAAAATCTTTGTAAAATTATTTTTTAAGGCACCAAGTTGAAATTTCTAAGCTGAAACTTACATTGGCCTTCTCGAAGAGTCCGTAGATGAAGGTGCCTGGATAGGAGGCGCCCTCCTTCTCGTTCTCCATGGAGACGGCGTCCAGGGCCGCCTCGAAATCCAGCATCACTTGCTTGAGGACGCACAGCTCATCGGCGGTGAAATCCTTCTTCTGACCCTCGTCGAAACTCAAGGTCGAATCTTCGCTGAGCAGTTTCATGACCGCCGTCACCTCCTCGATGGCCAACGCCACGTCCGTGCTCTTTATTTGGATCGAGGCGGCTTCCTCGCAAATTCTAAAGCGATTATGTGTAATATAATTATCAAGTCATAACCAAACCAAAATTGCATTGTTTTAAGCCTTCCCTGCAATTCCCTCTTTGGGGAAACTTTGGGGTAATGCTCATTTTGGGGTATTATGGGTTTTTTCGGAAATTCCAGAATTTGTTTATGTTTATGTGAATTATCTAGTTAAAGTTTAATAAAACGGAATTTAAAAATCCCCTAAATTTAGGACTTAAAAACAAAAAACCCCGAATTTTTTTTATTAATAATTCATTATCGAATTCTACTTTCCTTGTTAAAAAAATATGTTTTCATATCTATGAAATCCCCAAAAATAGTTTGTGTTACGAATAAATCCCCAATTTTAAAAAAAACATCTCTTATCAGGTATATTTATATATTATAATAATAATATATATTAAATAAACTTAATGATTTCTTCTAAAAATACTTCTAATAAAAAATACATATCTTTGAGTTATGGAACTAATTTTTAATGTTAAAAAACATTTCCAAAACGAATTCATTTTCGTTATGACTATCAAACAATGTAGTAAATGATTATTTTACAGCAAGTTTTGACAACTTTTTACGAACAAAAACACTGTCATATCGGTTGCCTAATGTATTCTTCTTGAATAGAAGTTTTTAAATTCTTCATAAAAAATCCTGGAGGGGTATTTTGGATTCTAACGTTAGGCAACCAAGATGAAACAGTGTTTTTTTTTCGTAAAAAGTTGGCAGAACTTTCTAGACATTTTTTTCAGTGTGTATGTAACCGCGATTTTTTTCAGTGTGTATGTAACCGCGATTTTTTGATTGGGGTATTTTGGGGTTTTTAGCAGTGTTGCTAACCTTTTAAAACTAATATCCGTGTTAAAACCATGAAAAATCCGTAGAAATTCGTAGTTAATTTTTTTAATGAATTACTCTGTTGTCGCTATAAAAATGAGGTTTTTAACCGCGAATTTGTCCCTCCATTTTTTAAATTTGCCCCACTGTGCGAATTTGTCCTCTTATTTTTTTTTATTTGTCCCACTGTGCGAATTTTTCCCAACATTTTTTTAAAACTTGTCCCACTGTGCGTTTTGTAGGTAGGCAACCCATTTGGAACATGTTTGTTACTTGATTGCCTACCTACAAATTATTGTTGGCAGCGACATCTATCCCAAAATGGCTGAACTAAAATTTTTGTTGCGGTTTGGGTATTTTTACATAGATGGCGCTTTTAAAACTTTTGCATTTTTAGTTAGCGGCCAACAGCAAACGCCAACTGTAAAGCCTTCATTTCTTCGTCCCTTCCTTACGTAAGAGAAAAACAATACAAAAGCCGTTGTGCGGTTTATAGATTCCCGTACAGGAATCTATAAATTGTACTACGATTTTTGTATTGTTAATCTTTTACGGGAGGAAGGAAGGAAGGCAATCTATAAATCAGGCTTAAGTTTATCATACATAAACGAAGCATTTTTAAATATCGATTTTAGTAAAATCAGAAAAAATTAACGATAATGAAAAATAAATGGATATTATATAAAAATGTGTTTAATCTCAGGCTGTGTAACAATTAATTGTTAACTGTTTTTTTTAATTTTAAAAAACAGGAAAACAATTTCACAATAAAAAATTAAGTGTGCATAGAAAAAGGCTGTTTGCAGTGTTACAAGTACAGCCAACTGTTGGTAAACCAAACAGACCTATAGCTTTCAAACCCAAGGTTTGTTCCTGCAGTGGTAAAACCCGATTTGAGAATTATAAAAATACCAAACGTTAAAAAAACTAATAAAAGAGTTTTTCCATTTTTTGTATATTAACAAGATTTTGTGGCTTTATCCGAAAATCCGAGTTTAACATTGAAATCCGTAGATCTACGGATAAATCCGTAGGGTTAGCAACACTGGTTTTTAGCTGTCACCTTTGAATGTCACAAGTCATGGAGCATACACAAGGAGTACAATAGGGGAAATTGACAAAACCTGCCCACTAAATTGCACAAATTGGGTCTTGTTTTTTTACCATTGTTGATGAGTACTGACGTGTTCTGTATTGGTAGCATTTTAATACAAATTAAACAATCAAGCTTGGTCTCCTTGTGTAGGCTTCATGGTCACAAGTGATCAACAAAAAATGACAGTTGACACATGTCAAAAATTACATTTTAAATGTCACAAAAAATAAATAAAAATGTACCTTTCAATGTTGTGTGCTTCATCCAGTATGACAACATTGTTGCTCAAAACAATGCCGAGACTTTTTCTGACCTTGGGGTCCAACAGGTAGTTGTAGGGCATGAAGATGATATCTGCCTCCTTTTGGATTTCCCGAGCCATGTAATACGGACAGAATTTGTGCAGATTGCCCAGTTTTACCAGGTCTTCTATGTCCATCACCGGGCTCTCTGAGACAGCAGGGTCTTCTTTCTTACGTTCCACGCGGTTGTGAAAATGGCAATTGCGCGATTTCACTTTCAAACGGCACATCTGGGTCTAGAAAAAATATTAATTTGAATTTTAAATAATTTACCATTAAATAAATATTTACTCTGGCAGAATTGCTCTGTTCCTTCATCACTTCTGGATGTATGCACATTTGCTCCCTTGATCCTATAATGCAAGCCTTCATGTGCTTGTATGCACTCCTCTTAAGTTCATTCATTGCCTGCGATAACTGTGTATGCGTTCTCGAAGCGTATATGATGGTCGGTAAGCCCATGAAGGCCCGTCCGCTGTTGTCTGCGTTATTTGCCGTCCCATTATCCACTTTTCCAGTCAGTTCTTTCAGCAGATTCCCCATGAAACCCTGCTTCTCTTCCGCAATGCTGTTTATTCTCTGCGCCTGAATTTGCGCTTTCTTTAACTGCAACCAGCCCAAAGTCGAGCACAGCAACGACAGGGTCTTGCCGGTCCCAGTGGGCGACTCCAGAACGCCATTTGTTTCGTTTTGAAGGCATTCAATCACCTTGTCCATGTATTCTCTCTGTAACTCGTACGGTTCGAAGGGGAATTCCACGGCAACGCCCCGTATATTTATCGTGCTCATCTTGAAAATTCTCTTTTGTTCACTAAGAAAAATTCTTTCCTTTATCCGCCAAAAAACTGTTTTATTATAGTACTCCTACAACATTGCGAAATCTGTTTGTTTTTCTTTGAGGTTATGTGTTTTTACCGCGCAAGCCATAATTCAAAGAACCTGTATCTTAGGCAATCAAATACATTTGCCTTAACAGGAGTTGCATACCTTCAGGATTGTATTTTATAACAATTTAAAGGGATAAACGCGTAATCTACAAAATATGCTAGATAGGCTTGCATTTTACTAACGTATCTATTAGCGAAATTTCCATTACCTTAAAAAATACTGCACATTTCTTTAAATATTGAAAAAATCAAATAAATGGACTTTTTACTTTTTTATTGTATTGTATTTTAGGACCAATATGTTATCGCCTTAAGGATAACATAACAAGATCTAACGAGAAATATAAGTGTTTATTTGCTACTCTTTTCGGTTTTTAAATAACTTTCGTTAAACATCTTGAGTGTAGGTTAAATTAAAAAACAGCGTTTCGGTGCGATATTTTAGTGCGTGAGTGACCTTTTTTTCGTCTGGAGATGCAATAACAACGATGGTGACAGGGAAAGGGCTTTAAAGGTAAAAATTGTGATTTTGCTTGTTTCAGTTGTTTTTTAATGTTTTTTTTCTTTGTTACAGGTAGGTCCAGTACGGGACTGATTAAGGCAATCAGCAACAAAGTAGTAAGTGATATTTTTTAGTAATGATCATTTTTAAGTGATTTTATGTTTTAATACTTACATAGGTATACTTAGATAAAGACAATCTTAATTTTAGTATTTACAGATTATCAACATAAAATTAATTGTTTAACGCTTGTTAAAGATTGTAGTAGGGGGACATCCATTAATTACGTGAGGCATTTTTCTGATAATTATAATTTGGACCCCTCTCCCTTGGTGAGATGTGGTACATCCCCCCATCCCTCACGTGAGATTTTAGCCATTTCTTTGTGGACAACATATAAAAAAAATGATTTTTTTTAAACAAATTTGAATTAGGTATAATACATATTTTCTAAAATCAAAAGTTGACGTGAGATTTATATTTTTCACAATTTTGCTTTAATCTTAATACAATTTTTAGGGTATACTTTTCAAAATACGGATATTTAATTAATTTAATTGGTATGCTGAAAATTTTAAAAATGTAGTTTTTTGAAAAAAATGACGGGATTAATTTAAAAAATGTACGTTACTTTTTTGTGGTTTTCACAAAAAATGGCGAATGCTCCGGGATTAATTTATAAAAGCGTCGTAACCTTTTAAAAAGGATTTTACGAAAAATCTTTTAACCTCACTTTAAAAAGAGCATTTTCCTTGATTTGTTTTCTTTGTAAAATATGGTATATAGTTGCATTTTTGACTTTTGCGGAATTTTATGAAAATAATTTTTGTTTAAATTTTTTTTGAAATTTCTTCGAAGTTGTTTTCTTCCGTTCAGAAATCTAAAACTTTTTATTGCAGAGCACTATAGCTTTGCCTCTCGTCTACTACTTTGTTTTCATGTAAAATATCGTATATAGTTGCATTTTTGACTTTTGCGGAATTTTATGAAAATAATTTTTGTTTAAATTTTTTTTAAAATTTCTTCGAAGTTGTTTTCTTACGTTCAAAAATCTAAAACTTTTTATTGCAGAGCACTATAGCTTTGCCTCTCGTCTACTACTTTGTTTTCATGTAAAATATCGTATATAGTTGCATTTTTGACTTTTGCGGAATTTTATGAAAATAATTTTTGTTTAAATTTTTTTTGAAATTTCTTCGAAGTTGTTTTCTTACGTTCAGAAATCTAAAACTTTTTATTGCAGAGCACTATAGCTTTGCCTCTCGTCTACTACTTTGTTTTCATGTAAAATATCGTATATAGTTGCATTTTTGACTTTTGCGGAATTTTATGAAAATAATTTTTGTTTAAATTTTTTTTGAAATTTCTTCGAAGTTGTTTTCTTACGTTCAGAAATCTAAAACTTTTTATTGCAGAGCACTATAGCTTTGCCTCTCGTCTACTACTTTGTTTTCATGTAAAATATCGTATATAGTTGCATTTTTGACTTTTGCGGAATTTTATGAAAATAATTTTTGTTTAAATTTTTTTTGAAATTTCTTCGAAGTTGTTTTCTTACGTTCAGAAATCTAAAACTTTTTATTGCAGAGCACTATAGCTTTGCCTCTCGTCTACTACTTTGTTTTCATGTAAAATATCGTATATAGTTGCATTTTTGACTTTTGCGGAATTTTATGAAAATAATTTTTGTTTAAATTTTTTTTAAAATTTCTTCGAAGTTGTTTTCTTACGTTCAAAAATCTAAAACTTTTTATTGCAGAGCACTATAGCTTTGCCTCTCGTCTACTACTTTGTTTTCATGTAAAATATCGTATATAGTTGCATTTTTGACTTTTGCGGAATTTTATGAAAATAATTTTTGTTTAAATTTTTTTTGAAATTTCTTCGAAGTTGTTTTCTTACGTTCAGAAATCTAAAACTTTTTATTGCAGAGCACTATAGCTTTGCCTCTCGTCTACTACTTTGTTTTCATGTAAAATATCGTATATAGTTGCATTTTTGACTTTTGCGGAATTTTATGAAAATAATTTTTGTTTAAATTTTTTTTTAAATTTCTTCGAAGTTGTTTTCTTACGTTCAGAAATCTAAAACTTTTTATTGCAGAGCACTATAGCTTTGCCTCTCGTCTACTACTTTGTTTTCATGTAAAATATCGTATATAGTTGCATTTTTGACTTTTGCGGAATTTTATGAAAATAATTTTTGTTTAAATTTTTTTTTAAATTTCTTCGAAGTTGTTTTCTTACGTTCAGAAATCTAAAACTTTTTATTGCAGAGCACTATAGCTTTGCCTCTCGTCTACTACTTTGTTTTCATGTAAAATATCGTATATAGTTGCATTTTTGACTTTTGCGGAATTTTATGAAAATAATTTTTGTTTAAATTTTTTTTGAAATTTATTCGAAGTTGTTTTCTTACGTTCAGAAATCTAAAACTTTTTATTGCAGAGCACTATAGCTTTGCCTCTCGTCTACTACTTTGTTTTCATGTAAAATATCGTATATAGTTGCATTTTTGACTTTTGCGGAATTTTATGAAAATAATTTTTGTTTAAATTTTTTTTTAAATTTCTTCGAAGTTGTTTTCTTACGTTCAGAAATCTAAAACTTTTTATTGCAGAGCACTATAGCTTTGCCTCTCGTCTACTACTTTGTTTTCATGTAAAATATCGTATATAGTTGCATTTTTGACTTTTGCGGAATTTTATGAAAATAATTTTTGTTTAAATTTTTTTTTAAATTTCTTCGAAGTTGTTTTCTTACGTTCAGAAATCTAAAACTTTTTATTGCAGAGCACTATAGCTTTGCCTCTCGTCTACTACTTTGTTTTCATGTAAAATATCGTATATAGTTGCATTTTTGACTTTTGCGGAATTTTATGAAAATAATTTTTGTTTAAATTTTTTTTGAAATTTCTTCGAAGTTGTTTTCTTACGTTCAGAAATCTAAAACTTTTTATTGCAGAGCACTATAGCTTTGCCTCTCGTCTACTACTTTGTTTTCATGTAAAATATCGTATATAGTTGCATTTTTGACTTTTGCGGAATTTTATGAAAATAATTTTTGTTTAAATTTTTTTTGAAATTTCTTCGAAGTTGTTTTCTTACGTTCAGAAATCTAAAACTTTTTATTGCAGAGCACTATAGCTTTGCCTCTCGTCTACTACTTTGTTTTCATGTAAAATATCGTATATAGTTGCATTTTTGACTTTTGCGGAATTTTATGAAAATAATTTTTGTTTAAATTTTTTTTGAAATTTCTTCGAAGTTGTTTTCTTACGTTCAGAAATCTAAAACTTTTTATTGCAGAGCACTATAGCTTTGCCTCTCGTCTACTACTTTGTTTTCATGTAAAATATCGTATATAGTTGCATTTTTGACTTTTGCGGAATTTTATGAAAATAATTTTTGTTTAATTTTTTTTTTAAATTTCTTCGAAGTTGTTTTCTTACGTTCAGAAATCTAAAACTTTTTATTGCAGAGCACTATAGCTTTGCCTCTCGTCTACTACTTTGTTTTCATGTAAAATATCGTATATAGTTGCATTTTTGACTTTTGCGGAATTTTATGAAAATAATTTTTGTTTAAATTTTTTTTGAAATTTCTTCGAAGTTGTTTTCTTACGTTCAGAAATCTAAAACTTTTTATTGCAGAGCACTATAGCTTTGCCTCTCGTCTACTACTTTGTTTTCATGTAAAATATCGTATATAGTTGCATTTTTGACTTTTGCGGAATTTTATGAAAATAATTTTTGTTTAAATTTTTTTTAAAATTTCTTCGAAGTTGTTTTCTTACGTTCAAAAATCTAAAACTTTTTATTGCAGAGCACTATAGCTTTGCCTCTCGTCTACTACTTTGTTTTCATGTAAAATATCGTATATAGTTGCATTTTTGACTTTTGCGGAATTTTATGAAAATAATTTTTGTTTAAATTTTTTTTGAAATTTCTTCGAAGTTGTTTTCTTACGTTCAGAAATCTAAAACTTTTTATTGCAGAGCACTATAGCTTTGCCTCTCGTCTACTACTTTGTTTTCATGTAAAATATCGTATATAGTTGCATTTTTGACTTTTGCGGAATTTTATGAAAATAATTTTTGTTTAAATTTTTTTTGAAATTTCTTCGAAGTTGTTTTCTTACGTTCAGAAATCTAAAACTTTTTATTGCAGAGCACTATAGCTTTGCCTCTCGTCTACTACTTTGTTTTCATGTAAAATATCGTATATAGTTGCATTTTTGACTTTTGCGGAATTTTATGAAAATAATTTTTGTTTAAATTTTTTTTGAAATTTATTCGAAGTTGTTTTCTTACGTTCAGAAATCTAAAACTTTTTATTGCAGAGCACTATAGCTTTGCCTCTCGTCTACTACTTTGTTTTCATGTAAAATATCGTATATAGTT